CAAATTCCCTGTTTTTTGATTTCCTCCTTTCCACACATCCTCTCTTTCATTTGCCTTTGAATTTTGTGTGTGTATCTTAAAGATGCAAGAGATTTTAGTTTTTAATGTAAAGGAGCAGTATTCCCTGAGAAATAAGGTGAGAGACTTTCAGAGACTTTTTCACACCAGTCATGGAACATTTGTAGTAATGGTTTTTGTTAGTTTGGGCCGTTTTCAGACCTGGTGAACATTGGGTGAAATCTCTAAAACTTCAGCACTCTAAGTCTGAAATACATTTTAAAGAGACCAAACTTACTTTCACTATCATGCCGGTAAAAAACATACTAGCTGCTACCTATAACCTATACCAGACTGTTATTTTATTGTTAAGGATAATTTCTTTGTATTGTGTTATAGTGGTCTTCAGGAACATTTTTCCTTCTTTCTTATTTCAATATACGAGTTGATTTAGGACAGAATCCGTAGTGACAAATGTTTTCATAAATATGTACAGAGATAAGGAGATTGATAACATAGGAAATTTAGAAACAGTCTAAGATGTTATTCACTGTTGAGCTATTTTCAAATCAATATATCATGTTCCCTTTCTCAGATTTGGTATTTTGCATTTTGACTCAGTGATAATTTTTAATGCCAAGATACATGCATATATATAAGCTCATACTACAAAAATAATCAGGAAATCTTTTTCACTTTCTTAGAAACGAAAATGAGGGGGTTTTGAAGTTCAGTAAATGTCAAGGTACTGTCATAATTAATAGAAAATGCAGATTATTTGAATATAAAAAATAAAGTTACTTTACATCGATCTTGAAAACATATGCTCAGGCTTAATAAAACTTAAAGATAAAGTGTTTTATTCTTTTTCCTAGCTGTCTCTGAAAAGTAATTGTGATTTTTTTCTTTTCCTTTTTTTTAATGTTGCAGCTATTTTGTGCCTTTCAAGATGACAAATACTTGTACATGGTAATGGAATACATGCCAGGTGGAGATCTTGTAAACCTTATGAGCAATTACGATGTGCCTGAGAAATGGGCCAAGTTCTATACAGCTGAAGTTGTTCTTGCTCTTGATGCAATTCACTCCATGGGCTTGATACACAGAGATGTGAAGCCTGACAATATGCTTTTAGATAAATATGGGCATCTGAAGTTGGCAGATTTTGGCACTTGCATGAAAATGGATGAAGTAAGTATGCAAATGAATAATTTATCATCTGTAAAACTGTAATTCTAAGGTTATTTTCTTATGAATTATCATACCCAAAGGAATATTCATCAAATGGTCCACTTGGTTGGAAAGCTGTTCCGTGTCTCCTAGTTTTACATACAAGAGTACTTTAAATAGTGTAACCTTGTCTATAATAAACTGTTCTGGCACAGGGAAGAAGGATGTAAACTTACTTTTTGTTATTTTTGAAAGAATGTGTGTTTATGAATTTCTGAGGTTCATTTTTTCGCCAAATGTCTGAAGAGCTTATGAGACTCCTAGTTTCAACATTAGGAACAGTTCATAAACTGACATTTTTCTGTAAATGAAATAATTTTATAGGCAAGATACAGTCCCTATTTTTTTCTTTACTGCGTCTAATTGTTCTCATAGCATCCTCTAGTGGTCATTAAAATGAGGTCACAGTAAGGCAGCAGTGGTATGTGATATTGATTATTGATACATTGATTAACATTGATGTTAGCTATTTGTCAAGATGTCATACATTTTAATTGTCCAGGTTTTACCATGTACAGCCAAATACACAGTTTTCTAATGAGACTGTATAAGAATATTTTATTTTTAACAGGATGTAATACTTTATATTATCAAAGGAGACTTAAAAATAAAGCTACCTTTTGTAGTTTGCCCTTCTAAAATTTTCCCTGACAAAAAATGTTATCCTGTAATTTACATAATATATTCTTCTTGTGAAAAATTGTAACAGATTCTGAAAAACCTGTGTATGAATGTGTGTAATGATATGCCTGGCCTTTGAAAGGTTTCTGTATTAACGTTTGCAAGGATGATCCTTTTAAGCTTATTTGCTTTAATGTGTTAGGGTTTTTTCTGTATTGTTTGGGCAGTGCTTGGTATAATCTCTGCAATCTACTTAATTTGCATTTGCATCATTAAGTTAATGTCTTTTCAGCTGTATCTAGAAGTACTGTCTCTAGGCAGGGTATTTTTTCTTTCCTGTGACAATATATTAGCTTAATTAAACAACTACAGCTGTTTATTGAGGTTCAGTAGTCTATTTAGTGTTACTGTCCTTGTTATTCTAAAGGCAGACAGATATTTACTTCCACTTTGCCTAGATTTTAGGGGACAGCATTTACTTTAATTGAAAAAAATCAAAAATAGTATTTGTTCTTTTAATTTAGTCCTTAAAAAATTCTTGCTTTTGAGCCAATAGACTGTAGGTCTTAAGGGAGTCTGATGTTCATCAGAAGAGCTAATTAAAAAAGCAGCAAAAAGTTCATAATATAAATCTACAAAAAAGGGTGATCCCTTACGCTATTTTAGGGATCCCAGAAATGGTGAACCTAAAAGGTTTTTTCCTTCTTTTTCATTGTTGTTGTTAAACGAATGGAATACTAAAATGTGGTTGATCATATCATAAATGTGAGAAGTGCATGCACATTTCTCGTCACGCATTACAATGAGTTCCAGTTTGGACTGGGCATCATCAATGAACCAGCGATCTCCTAAAAAAGTTAATTTTTTAACAGATTACATTTTAGGTTCTTCATGTTTCTCAGACTCAGTGGAATGGCAAAAATTTTTTATACAGGAAGCTTTAGAAGTTGAGAGGTTCTGGATTCTCTCCAAATCGCATGCTACTTCTTACAAAACATGAACACATCCCAGCTGTGTAAATATAATATTGGTGTTGGCAGGGTGATTTCTAGAAAATATATGCTTACCCAATACTTACTTATTTTTTCTGATTTGGAGTTCTTTTAGCAGTTGTGCACGTTAGCATCTTCCTTATGTTGTTGAGAGCCCAGGAAAATTCTGCTGCAATTTGGTGAGAGACTTTTTTGACCTTTGCTGTGCAATTGAATTCAGTGTCCTCTTAAGTCTTCCGGGCCAGTCCAGACACTTGCAGCAGAATTCCTCCTTACCAGTATGTGAAAAGAATTGCTGAGTGTTTTCCAACATAAAAGGAACTGGTGCCTGTTTATGTAACTCAGTTGTGATGGTTTGGGGGCTTTGTAGGTTTTCTGATTTCTTTTTTTTTGCTTTTTAAAAAATCTGCAACAAGGTGAGTATTTCTATTATTGAACAAAGGATAGAGGTGGCCTCAAAGGTTTAGTAGGAATTGTAGTTCCCTTTTGGTATTTAGGTGTGATAAGGTAGCCTAGGGCAGGTTTCACCAGACTCTAATCCTCACGTTTTCTGTAAGAAACTATACAGTAGCATGGCTGGCTTCAGTAGGTGTCGTAGAGCCAGGAACTGCTAGTGCTGCCAGGCTCAGTACATAAAGCTGTCTTGTGCTAACCAAGCTTTAAGAAGAGCACAGGTTTAGAGGATATCTGTTGAAAAAAGTTGTGACTGAAAGAAGGGATGTTTACCATTTGGGATTATCGCCTCAGCTCAGGCAGTTTAGCTGAAAGGAGGAATGTGTTTCTCTTTTTAGAACTCAACTCATTTCTTACTGAAGCTCGTCCAAGACTCTGCTGGATACTTTTTGCTTCAGTTCATTGCCTGCAGCATGCTGCACAAGCCTGGCTGCAGTGTTAACACCTGATCTGAGCTATCCTAATGTTTCTGCACAAGCACTTTCCAGCTCTTGTTTACTGAAAAGAACTTCATGAGGGAGTGAAAGCCTGATTTGATGGGTGAGGAATTGACTGGATGGTCACATCCAAAGGGTCACATCCAGGTCAACGGTGCAATGTCCAGATGAAGATCAGTGGACCCCTCAGGGACACCACTTGTCATACTGGGACCAGTGCTGTTTAATACCTTCATTAGTGTCACAGACAGTGGGATCAAGTGCACCCTCAGCAACTTTGCAGATGACACCAAGCTGAGTAGTGCAGTTGACATGCCTGAGGGACAGGATGCCACCCAGAGGAACCTGGACAAGTTTGAGAAGTGCGCCCATGTGAACCTCAGGTTCAACAAGGCCAAGTGCAATGTCCTGCACCTAGGTCAGGGATATCCCCAGTAACAATACAGGCTGGGGGATGAAGGCATTGAGAGCAGCCCTGCCAAGAAGCACTTGGGTGTACTGGTGGATGAAAAGCTGGACGTGAGCCAGCAATGTGCACTGGCAGCCTAGAAGACCAACCATATCCTGGGCTGCATCCAAAGCAGCATGACCAGCAGGTCAAGGGAGGGGATTCTGCCCCTCTGCTCCACTCTGGTGAGACCTCACCTGGAGCACTGCATCCAGCTCTGGAGCCCTCAGCACAGGAAAGACATGGACCTGTTGGAGTGGGTCCAGAGGAGGGCCACAAAAATGATCTGAGGGCTGGAGCACCTCTCCTATGAGGAGAGGCTGAGAGAGTTGGGGTTGTTCAGCCTGGAGAAGAGAAGGTGGGGAGACCTTATTATGTCCTTTCAGTACTTAAAGGGGGCCTATAGGAAAGATGGGGACAGACTTTTTAGCAGGGCCTGTTGTGTTAGGACAAGGGGTAATGGTTTTAAATGGTCGAGTCCCCATCCCTGGAGGTATTTAAAAGATGGTTAGATGAGGTGCTTAGGGACATGGTTTAGTGGTGGGATGTCAGGGTTTGGTTAACAGTTGGACTTGATGATCTTAAAGGTCTTTTCCAACCTAAGCAATTCTATGATTCTAAACTCTTTAAAAGAGAGTAGATTCAGACTAGATATAAGGACGACATTTCTTGTGGTGAGACACTGGAACAGGTTTCCCAGAGAGGTGGTAGACGCTCCATCCCTGGAAACATTCAAGGTCAGGCTGGATGGTGCTCTGGGCAACCTGATCTGGTTGAAAATGTCGCTGCTCATTGCAGGGGTGTTGGACTAGATGATGTTTAAAGGTCCCTTCCAACCCAAACTATTCTATGATTCTCGGCCATGGTCCATGACAGTGAGGCATTCAGGTGTGATTGAGATCCTCTTGAGGATCAGCAATATAATAATTCTGAATGATGCCAGGAAACACTACAGCCTCACCGCCAAGTTGTCATAAGTTGTGAGGACATGCTATGTCTCATGGACAGCCTTTTTTAAAATTCTGCACTGCTGCTGCAGGAGCCTCCCTTGAGATGGAATTCCAGGATCCACCTTGATCTTTTGTGGTGATGAGAAAAGTCTCAGGTAAAACACGGGTCTGAGACTCCCCGAAGGAAGCTTTCTATGAGAACTGTTACAGTAAGTGTGCTACTCAGGCATAAAACAGAGGCTTAGTGTTTGAAACACAGGAAAAAACGCTTTGTCCAGAGAAAACAGCACCCTTTAGACCTCTTCAAATGCTGAAGTACAGAAGCCAAAACTGATGCAGAACGTAGGGACTGTCAAGATGCCATGTACTGCACAGAGAGGACTTCCCTGTTTACTTGGCTTTGATGCCAGAGATCACAGAAACTAGTTTGACTGTGGCATTAAGAGTATCCAGTACTTAAAAATACATACAGAACAACACCCACATTCTTTGAAAGAAGAAGTGTGTAAATGAGAGGAACAGAAATCTGGGAATATTATATTCAGGTGGTAATGGACCAGCCTCCCCAGGGATGTGATAGAATCCCTATCACTGGAAGGTTTCAAGATGCAGACAGGGTGCTACATAATGTCATCTAGCCTCCCTTTCCCACAACAGGTTGGGCCAGATGATCTTTCAAGGTGCCTTCCAACCTGGGATGTTCTGTGACTCTGTGAACGCATTTTTAGATTTGTTCTTGAGTCAGAAAGTAGAGTTTTATGAGGAGTAAGTAGAACCAACAATGTGCTTCAGAGAGATACAGTCCATTGAAAACTTCTGTTAGTGTGCAGACCCCTTATAATTGTAGAAATATTTTTTTTGTTTGTTTTACTGCTCAATTCTTTGACATTTGAAAACTTAAGGCATTGTTACCTGGAGTTCTTTAACATCTGTAATGTCATTGGAAAGAAGCTTTCTTGTTGCTACGTACCAGCCATCAGACCTGGGTAGGGCTGGCTTTTTTTTTTTTTTGCACAACCTTTGCTTTGTTTGCATGAGACCTCATAAAATATCAACATGTATAACATGTTAAAAAGTGTTCTTGTTTTGGTGTATTAATTACAGAGGAATGGGAAATGGAGGTTATTAAGTGCTTAGGTGTTGAGATGATGAGGCTATGACTGAAGCTGTGGTCTTCAGAGAAATCTTTCAGAACTGTTTCAGTGACTTTGTTTTTAAAGAAAACTTCTTACCCAGGGAAGGATTCAGCTGGCTTCAGCCAGTCTTCATTGAGTGAAGGCTCAGACTTTCCCTTGTTGTAATTTTGCGTTTGGATGAGGAAGAGTTAAGCATGCACCAGTGTTGGAGACCTCATTAAGATGCCACAGTCCTACATGCAGCAGAATCACGTGAACCTAGTGCGATTCCTCCAGTGCTCAAAGCAAAGAGGCTTAAACTTCAGAAAAGTCCTGTCAGTTTGTGCACAGGGTGCTGTTATAAGTAGGACGATCAAATAGTGGCTCCTGCCATGTGCCAGATTCATTTTCGAATGTTCTCAGCTTTAGATTTCTGGAGCCTTTGGGCTTTCGTTTATTTCCCAGTGTTAAAATGTGTTCATCTGTATTCTTCTTTGTACAAAGAATGCGTTCAGTCTTCTGAAAAGAGTTAACTAGGATTATCAAGCTATGTGCTGTCTGGTTCATGGTATAGAAAGCAGAAGTTAACCTGCTCTTCATTCTGGAACTGACAAGTTAAAACTTCCTTTAGGTTTCAGCTTCAGCATGGAGTTGTAGAAGATGATAGGCATTTGCCAGGAGGACATTTGAAGTACTCCTTACATCTCTGCAGTATTTAGTCGTCACTTCGGTTTTTGCCTGCCAGTTCATGACTTTCCAGGATTCTGGTTTAGTCCATAAATAAAAGCTTTTGGCACTTATGTTGTGTGTGAAAAGAAATATTGTAGTTTGATGTCTAATTTTTACATGTCAATACAGTTCCCAAAGCAAAGTGTTTCTCTTCTTTTTTTAAATACGTGTTTTGACTTTAGTTGTTGCTGCTGATATTCTGTATTAATATTCAGCCAAAGCTTATGGCAAAATGCTCAAAGAACTTTGTAAGGTGACTTAGAACTAAGATTTGAGGTTGAGAGACAGAATAAAAGATGAGTGTATTTTTGATACTTCTCTAACTTCATCCAGGATTTCATTTCCTTCATCCATCTGGTCTCTCTGGAATGAATGCAGTGAATTTGATCAAAGGAAACAAGGCTTGTAAGCCTGAACCAGCATGCTGGCAGATCTGACGATGCTGTATTTCAGTGTGAAACAAAGAGGATGAAGAATCATTCCGTTAATACTGCTGTATTAAAATGTTAATAAATTTAAAAAAAAAAAGCTTTGCTATTCTTTAAAAATAGCTTTTCCTTTTATTTTTTTCCTATCTTTAAAAAACAAGGCGTGACTATAAAAATTTACCTATAACTTGATTTATTGTCTGAATTAGACAAAACTGTTATGTACCTGCTATGTAGGGCCTAGAATCCATAGCTTGTCAAAATTATTCTAAAGTTTGTCCCTGAATTCAGTGAGTTAAGGAGCAGTCTGTTATGGTGTGTAACTTGATATTGAAACCAATGGTAAAAATAATAGGAGTGGTCAATTTTTGAAAGATGTAATCAAGAAAAACTGCTATGGAGTAGGCAGGGGAGAGCACATTACCAGGAATGGTCATTTCAGTCCGTACTGATTGTGGAGTAAAAACAGAGACTTTCAAACACATTCCTCAAACCAGATATTTTGGGCTATATTTTTTATGTTTTTCTGGTCTAGAAAAAACTAACTGTTTAAAGACTCAGAAGTATTTTTAATTGAGCTATTTGAATTCTTACTGTTACACAGACAGGTATGGTGCGCTGCGATACAGCTGTGGGAACCCCCGACTACATATCGCCCGAAGTTTTGAAATCGCAAGGGGGTGATGGTTATTATGGACGGGAATGTGACTGGTGGTCTGTAGGAGTTTTCCTTTTCGAGATGCTAGTTGGTAAGTAGTGATTTCTTCTGCTAATGAGATTATCGTTGAGTCTTTAGTGTGTCTTTAGCTGTACTTTGCTGCAAGGGGGCCAGTTGTACCTCACCATCTAACAGCTTGTGACTTTTGGCTGGTGCTGGTGCTTCATTCCTGTTCTCTTTGCTCTCTGTTGCTGCTGTGCTGTGACAGCTGTTTGAGTGCTTGCTCAGTGATTAGTTCCCTGACTTGGTTCAGCTTAAAACTAATTCTTAGAATAGTTGTAACTGGGTTAGGCTACCTCAATCTCATGAATGTTTGTGCCGTCTCAGGTAGTACTGAGTTTTCAGGGATGCAGAGATGGGAAAGGGCAGAACTGCCCCTTTCTTTTTTTTTTCTTTCTTCCTTTTTTTTCCCTTTTGTTTCCCCGCCCCCATCGCCCCATCCCCATTTTATTTTCCCCCAGCAGTAGCAACGGCTTCTGTTAGGTGAAAATGACTGTGGAAGTATGGCTTGATTCTTTCCTTTATGCTTGAGTCAGGATTTTTCAGTAAAATACACTGGACTGCTATGGCAACGAACATAGAATATAATCTGTTAAGGAGATGAGTCATCTGCTTCTTAAAATACAGTGATGATCAGTATTATAGTCTAGTAGCAAAATACTGATTATAGAAGGATGGAATTGAGTATATAATTATTAAAAATCCAAATCAGCATGTTGTGGGAATATTGCAGATCTGATGTTTCTGGTTTCCTGAGCCAGGAAAGACATTTGGATATATGATGCTATTACAATCTCTGTATCTTTCAGAATTAAGGCATTTTGATTCACAAAAAGTGTGGTTTACAATTAATAGTCTCTCATAAACAATTTTAGCAATAAATAAAATTCTGTAATTACTAAAATACTGGACATAGCTGTCCAGAATGTTTTCTCAGAGCTTCTTTTTTTTTTTTTTTTTTTTTTTCTTTTCTTCTTCCTCCACTTGTATCTGAGAGGGAGGATTCTCCCCTTTTTATCCTTCTAATGAAAACATTTTTTTTAAGTGAAAGTGAAGAGGTACAGTTTTTGCGGGAGCTAGATTATATGAGGGAACCTGTACCTGGTTAGGACAAAAATCCATCTACATTTCAGTGCAACACACTGTGTTCTTATACCAGGGTTTCTGTATGGGTTGCTAAGCTTAAGGGCTTTATTTGGTTAGTTATTCATAGAGTTTGGAGTTGTGTTAGACAATGTCTAATATTTCATAGGTCTCATGTATTTTTCCTCCCAAAGTATATCTTATTTTAATATTTGTAGCTCTGCTATTTTTACTACTTTTTTTTCTTTTTTCTTTAGTACTGAACGTACTTCTTTTTTTCCTTGTGTATACTCTAGACTGGAAACTTCACTTTCAGTAACTGTGATTTTTTTCAGACACTTTTTCTGATGGGAGGGAAATAACAATGTCGTTTCTGTTTTGGTTTTAGCCATGCCATGATCATGTGTGATTAACACTGTATCCTTTCAGCTGAATTCCTGTCTTCTTTCTTTCTGCTTTTCATGAACACTTCTTCCTGCTATTTTTTTTTTAACCTGAGCCTCTTTCTTCCTCTGAAATGGATATGTGATTGTTCTATCTACACAGTCATCTTGAAATGTTAAAACCTGCTTCACCTTTATGTGGGTAATTACAATTACAGGGCCTAGTTATGCCCAATAATTTTTTTATTTGTTGTTCTCAAATTATCATATTCTAATCTCAGTTGGATTTCCTGTCTGATGGCACCAAAGTCCTTTCCTTCAGTGGCTTTGTTTACAGAGTATTTGAGGCTCAGGTCAAATTAATTTGACAAAGTGTCTAGAAAAGCATGCAGCTTCTCTTCAGGAATGATGTAGCTTTTCTGCTCCTTGTGTTTTGAACTAAGAATAATGATAATATTCAAGACAGATCTTCTGCTCCCCCATACATATTGTTAAGAGAGAGGCACCAATAAAATGGTTTGGAGTATTTGATGCAGGTTAACTTTGACCTTTGGTTAAACCCTTATCCCTTTATTACACTATGGTATTTTGACTGTTGAAGATTTCTTCTTTTTCACCCTCAACAACATGTAACATAAAACAACATTAGTGTTGTCATTTCCGTTCTTAAATAGCCTTATGAGTTTCAAGATCCCATTAACAACAGTTGCTTTTAAAAGCCTTTGTGGACTTTCACACTTGGTTTTCCCTTGATAATCTTACTTAATTTCTCCGTATCCCACACACTGGTAGAAAGTATTTTTGTGTGTGTTTACATATCAGTTTCTGTCTATCCTCCTCTAAAAATTGATGCTCTGAAGAAAGCACAGAAAGTGTTCTGGTGTTTTAGTAAAGACACAGTACTAATGAAAACGGTACTAGTTTTTGTTGTGCGCTTAACTAAAAGCTAAAATGTTGGTCAGCGGATGAATCCTAACACTACTTTAGTTCAGTGACTTAGAGTAGTTTTGAGGTGTGGCCTAAATCAAAGCTGTTTCTGAGACCAAAGACAACTGAGAAGGGGAAGGTTTGGAAAGAGGGAGGCAGCAGCAAATATCAGTGTGGTATGGCAACCTAATGGATTTACTAAAAGTCTTGATATTTTATTCAAGCTGGTAACTACTAATTTCTTATTTTGCCATCAAATGACAGAAAGAGGCTAAAGGCAGGATTGTTGCATTTATATTCTTTTTGAAAGCCGAATGGGTTTTTTTCACTGGTCTGTTCATATATTTTTTCAGATTTTGAAATTTTTAATACCTTATTAGAAGCATGCGGTCAGCATGCTGACTGCCCTGCCGCTGATCCCTGCCTGCACGTGGCACACCAGAATAGAGGAAGGAGCCTAGCGCCCGCGATTGTTCATCTTCTCTGTTAAACCTATGGATTAGTTGTGAGAAAGGATTTATGTAAAAGTTGCAGCCTCTTGATTACTGACCTGGACCATTTGTATATTCAGCGTGTTGTCAGTTAACTTGAATGTCAGTTAACTTTTACCAATACTGGTTCTTTTCAGTTGTCCCAGTTTTACCTTTCTTAAGGATATTTGCAAAGAAACTAGACTTAACTAAAGCCTGTGCTGCAAACCTTTGGGTGAGAAAGGTCTGATTTTAAAAGCCACCTGCCCATGTTAATGTGGGCACCCAAGCTAATACAATTTATCAGTCAACAAGATTCATGAAATGTGGGCTTAACAGTGCAGTAACACACTGTGAAGGCTCCTGCCTAGAGCCAGCTTGCCTTAGGCAGCTCCAGGAGTAGACAGGGTAGACCTGCGTGCCTCTGAAACAGTCTGTGGTGGATTTCCTCCAAAAAAAGTGTGTTAGCAAATCCATAATGAGTTTCAGTCCCTTAAACCCATGGAAGCTCTTAAAGATGGGGATTTATGTGGGTGTCAGCCATCATGTAAATTAGAAAACACAGTGATAGTCTTCAGGTAGAACAAAAGATGTAATTCACTGGGCAAAATTTTGGTAGTGATATGCAGGATGAAAAATAGCTTAGTTTTGTAACAGGCATTTGGGGGAAGGACTATTTTTAATACTATATATAATTTTCTACCCTGCATTCCTTTTTTTTTTTTTTTTTAAACTAAAAGACTCTTTCAGGTAAAACTGCTTGCAGACTTTTCTTCATATATTTTGTCTTTTTCAACTTATGTGACTTGAACATGACTCAAAATCACCGTCAATTTACTACTTTGATTTCAGGTGATACTCCTTTTTATGCAGACTCACTAGTAGGAACATACAGTAAAATTATGGATCATAAGAACTCGTTAAATTTCCCAGATGATGTGGAAATCTCTAAGCATGCTAAGAACCTTATCTGTGCCTTTTTAACTGATAGGTAAGTGCATGTATTATTGTGGTACTGTTTTTATTTTGGATGGTATTAGCACGCGTACATTGTAAAAAATGAATTCTTTCCATTACTTCTCCTAATCTTTGTTCAAATCTCTTCTGCAAAATCTCGTGCTCTCTAGTTTTTCTTTTGGGGTGTTTTTTCCAGGTATTGTATTTTATTTCTATGAGCAGTTCTGACAGCTCATGTTAACACCAGCATTTGTGCCAGACAAATCCTTCCAATTACAGTGTATAATACAGTAACAAACCTGTAAATTGAAAGTAATTTGTAAGCTCCAAGGCAGGGACCAAATCATGCTCAGTGTCTAAGTGGGTGTTGCTTAAAAATATGAAAGCAAATACTTTTAAGAAAATAAGCATGTATTTACTGAGTTTGTTTAAGCTTTCTTACAATGTTTGAACTTTTTTCATTTGCTTTGTTGAGTAGTATGGCTAACAAACCAGCAAGGATATTGTTTTGGCTATAAATAGATCCTAGAGATCTCTCTTCGTGGAACGGAGCTGTATTGATATTAAGCTGCGTAAGCTTGTTCTTGACGTGAACACTTAACATTTTCTTTAGTTCCAAAAAGCAGAGATCATCTTTAATTTCTCTGATTTAAAAGAATGCTGTAGGTCCATATTTAACTCTGGATTGATGATGCCTTCTTAGGCTTTCTTGTGGTCACTTACACTTGGCTACAGCAGAGCACAGAGCCTTTATAGAACGAGGGATTAGGGGGGGAAAAAGCCTTATAATGGTTTTTGCATTCAAAGAGAGGTTATTTGCTCTGTTGAGCAAGATCGTGGTTACTCAGGAAGGATGTGCTTTAAAAGTGTTTTTCACCCTTAGTAGCTGAAGGGTAGAGAGAAAATATGAGTAGAATTTAATAATGTAAATGTGGCGAGGTGTACTTCCACTACGTGTCCCCATCTTCCTGTTTATATTTAATACAGTGCTCGAGCGATTTATTTGAAACAGATGCCTTCTTTCCGTATGTGTGATCACTGCTGAAACACTTAAAGAAGGAATAAGCATCAACCCTGTGATTTATTAGTTCATTTACACGCATTGTTTTTATGTCCTGTTCTTGTAGATGGTTTTAAAGAGACTCTTCTGGTCAATCTAAAAGTTTCTTGTTGCACTTAAGATTTATTTCACTGCAAATATCAGTAAAAGATGTGTCAGGGTTAGTTATGGGGCAGGGGATGGAATCCTTAAAATATTTATTTCAGTCCAGCTTTGAATAACTGTTCTGTGCAGTAAGTTAGACCTTCCCTCACTTGCGTCTTAAGGTTTGTCATGTGGTTTGGCAGACACGGAACTTCTGCAGTTTTTTTTCCCCCAAGGGTGTTGGGGTTTTGTTTGTGTTTTTAGTTTTTTCTTAGTTTTTGCCTCAGCGCTCTCTTTCTTGCTTTACTCCCCACGTGGCAGACTCCAAATTCTGGACATTTTAGCAGCTTGCAGGGAGAGTGCATGCTAAGAAACAGAGCACATTTTATATAAGAAGCTGCAGGTCAGTGGTTGGTAGATTTTTAGTTTTTTTTCATTTGACAATTAACACAGACAGTCTTTACTGAAAGTTTCTTTGCTGCTTATGAGCAAGTCAGAATTTAAATAACAAAAAACGAGTGTTGTTTTTCCTAATGTGCATTTGTCTTAATTGCTATGCTTAGGGATGTACGGCTTGGGAGAAATGGGGTAGAAGAAATAAAGCTTCACCCTTTCTTCAAGAGTGATCAGTGGAACTGGGACAACATTCGAGAGAGTAAGTAAATCAGCTTAAAAGTTTTTATTCAGCATTTGCAATAGTAGAAATGAAGAAAACTGTATAAATTAAGTATTTTCTATCTATCAAGAATCTTGCTTAAACTTCCATATATTTATCATTTGTATTATAAAAACTCTTATCAGTGAGGGTTAGTAAATATACATTTTTCCTACTGGAATTATCTTCACCTTTATCATGCTTTTAATGTCTAGATTTCTGTTTTGAACAAGAGAACTAGATGTTTTAGAACTCTGACTAAAAAGAATGCATGCTAGGTTCTGTTTCTTTGTGGCTTTTGTTGTTTTGTTTGGGGTTTTTTGGTGGTGGTGGTTTGTTTGGTTGGGTTTTTTTTTAAACCTTCTGTAGTTAAGACAGTAGTTTGACAGCAGTCTTGTCAGTTGTAGTGCTTTTCATTTAAGGCATTGTGAACTTGATAACTTTAGGCAAAAAAACCAAAGTATGTCAGTTGAGATCATGAGCTTGATCGTAACTTCTGAAGTCATATATTTACTAAGGTTTCTTAAAATGATGATTGTATTCAGAGTTCTATTCCCAAATGTGATTACCTTAGCAAACACATTTTGCACATTAGATATTCTATGCAATAGGCAACCAATGTAAAAATAGATTTGTCTAGAAAAAAATGTTCACAGTAATATTTACAGATCTGCTGTATGGTTAATACATACTTAACTAGCAGGACAACTTTATAATATAGGCTTTTTAACATTACAGAGATACCAGTATGTAGCAAGTGTCTGAATCTTGGAGTGAAGTTGATCTCTTCTCCCCTTTTTATAGCTGCTGCTCCTGTTGTTCCTGAGCTTAGCAGTGATATAGATAGCAGTAATTTTGATGACATTGAGGACGACAAGGGAGACGTGGAAACCTTTCCAATCCCCAAAGCCTTCGTGGGAAACCAGCTGCCTTTTATAGGATTTACCTACTATAGAGACAATTTGTATGTGATATTTTAATACGCATTTTTAGCAATACACCTACAGATTTTTCCTATATCTTATCCTTTTTTTCAATCTAGAGACATAATTTATTTATTGCATTATATTCATATATGTCCAATTGTGAAGATACAAGATGCAGAGTTTAAGTAGAATATATAATTTGCTACTATTTTGGTTATTTTGATAACTGATTAAACACAGTATTTTTATAAGCATAAAATCAAGTCCCTTAAAGAGTCTTATAGGGTTAAAATACTGATAGATTTGTAATTTAGTTCTAAAATGGCTTTTTATTAGTAGCTTTAGAAAAAAGTTTACACAAGATAATAGCTTACTAAGACTCAACTTCAATAGTTAAGAAATAATTCTATTAATTAAAAAATTATAAGCTCTATGGGTTTGAAAACATATGTTATACTTCACTTAAGATTCAAATCAGATGCACTCACACTGAAATAAAACAAGCTTCATTCTGAGAATACTGTAGGACAAATTAAGACTGGAGAGAATTGATTAAAATGAGTTGATTGGCAAGGTTGCCAGAGTTGTTGAAAACTTGAATAAGAGCTGGAGGGATTTGTTTTTGTTTTTGACAGGTTGCTAAGTGACTCCTCTCAGTCTTGCAGAGAAAATGAATCCGTGCAATCTAGTAAAAATGAGGTTAGTGCCTTTTTTTTTTTGTAAGTATTAACGATTGATTAATTTTGTTAGGTCTGTTAAGAAAAGACGAAGTCTAAAATAAGTTTACTGGAAATTTTATGGGGGGCTTTTTGTCTTTTAATGGTCCTCAATAAAAATGATATTTTCTATTTACAGGACAGCAAGGATGTAAGTATATTGTTTGAGTTATGAAAGGAATAAAAAAAAATCCTACATAATTTGTGTGAAGTACCTTAAATGTTTATTCACCAAATTGTTAACAGTAAACCACTTGTATTTTGAAACAGTTGTACTCAAGCATTAAGGTACTATGGTTTAAAGATGAGTGAATACAGATTCTCCTCGAATTCTTTTGCCATCTAGAATTTGTTTGGAAAAGAAATGTGTAAGGCTCTGTTGCCACAAACAGCATTACTCTTGGAAAGGTTGTGAATTTTGGCTCCACGCTTGCCTGAGTGATTCATGACTGATTTATTCAGAGTTTGGAAAAGTAAATTGTCACCTGCAGTGCTAAAGGAATGTTTAGATCATGCTCTCAGTTGAAGTGAGTGTATGGAGCATGTTTATACAGATTCTGAAGACTGACAATTGAATTTAAATTTGCAGATGACAGGAGAATGCTATGGAATTTTCACGTACTTACTTCATTATGTTACTTAAACATTTGTATTATTCAAGTGTAGATAGTATATTGTTAATGTTTTTAGAATTTAAAACTCCTTTTCAAAGTTTAAAAAATAAGTAAAGGAAATGCATTATGTATTGACCAGCATAAATTTAAACGCAAGTGTTTATTCATCTCCGTGCCTTCCTGTCATTGCTGAGTTGATGAATAGTTTCAGACTTTGCTGAATAGACTAAGTTTTAGAGTTTCCCTTTTAAAAATAAATGCTACTGCTGTTTAAAATACGTAGTGTCACGTTCATGATATTTGCTTTATGTTGTGATAGTGGACTTAGTAAAATTTTGCATTTCGCTTCTGACAACTTTTTCATTTTGTATTTTCTCAAGCAGTGAATCTCTAGTCCTGGTGTCCTTTTTAGTGTCCCTGTTCTAGCAATCTTCTAATTGCAACAATTATAAAGTGTTTTAGAAAACCACATTTTTAGATTTTATGTTTGGAGGGTAGAGGAGGAGGAGGAGGGGGAAGGGAGGAAAACAAATGCATTTTAAAGCCTGAAGATATGAGAGAGTTCCAACATTTATTATTTCTGATTTATTTAATGAATATTTGGGTATGTGACTCTCAGTCTCTTTTTAATATTTTAGTAAGCAAACCAAAACATTCCCAAACTTGAAAAGTGTTAGCTTCTGTATGTGTTAGACTGAAATTCTTTTTTATGTGAGGTCATTGAGCATGCTTAGTAATGTTCTCTGAATACTGTCCAATTTGGCCACGTGGCTCCCTTTTTATTTTTTAATGTTATTTAGAAAAGACTATCCCAAAAATTTTGCTCTAGTGGAAAGTCTCTGTCTGTAGAGAAAGAGTACAGCAAAGGGCCATTAGCAATATTCTTTGCCCATAGAAATTTTATGACTCAATCTGTGGCACATAATTCAGCAATGGTTAGATTTAATGCAGCAGATCTCGTTACTATGGATCTGTATTTTTAAAATCATCAGGATTAAAACCTTGTAAAGATGTAACCTTCTGGCGATGGTTTTAAAATAATATAGCGGAAGGTTGAATTAATTTTCCTCACTTTCCCTTTTTTTGTTATTTAATTGATTTACACTTGTTTTATGTGATAACATTTTTATATGTGAGCTATGCTTTTTTGACATTTTACACAGTTTCAGAAAAAACTAAGCAAGCTAGAAGAACAGCTCAGTAACGAATTACAAGCCAAAGATGAACTAGAACAGAAGTACAGGTGAGACTGTTTTGGCATGTTTGGTATGTTTATAAAGAAGTTTTATTACAGCTTTTGCTTTTGAATGCTTAAAGGCGTTTAATCTACTTTGGGGATTCCCAACACTGCAAGCAGACCTCACTGTAAATTGCTGGCCTAATCCTTGCTACTCCTGTGATGACCGTTTTCTTTTTTTTGCCTTAATTCTCCATAAGAATCTCTTTATTGTTTGAGTGATTACTCCAGTCCTTGAGGTTTCATGTTATTGCTGAAAACAGTGTCTTATATAAAATTAGACGCATCCAAACATCTAATTTCTGTATAATCAGCAAGGTTTAAAAATATTTTTCAAATTTCTTCAGGTCTACTAATACTCGTTTAGAGAAGATAGTGAAAGAGCTAGATGAAGAGGTGAGTCCATAATTATTTCTTATGGGAATTACAACTTTAACATTTGTATCTGGCTGTTTTCCTTAGGAAACAGCAAATTACTTTTGAGTAGCTATGTATTTGTAGCAAGCAATACCAGCTGATTTCTTGATATTCACAAGCATAAAATTGTTGTCACTGCTAAAATATTTTCATTGTGACTTCTGTACGACAACTACACATTTGTTTCCAGAATCCATTTTTTACTATGTTTTTAATTTGGAGGACAGTGTAATATGAATAATCCATCTACAGTTCTAATAACTGAAGACGTGAGAGTAATGTTGGTGGAAGAGGAGCCCATTCTTTGCACTGTTCAAACAGTGTCAGTAAAAGGACCCTCTTTCTTGCCCAGCTTTGCACTTCAGCCCTACTACAAATTTGTCATGTCTGTAGTGGACACATACAACTTAACGTATTTCTCGTCCGGGTGCATGTTGAGACCTTATGGGTACGTGTATGTTTCTGTGCCTCCTGAGTCGCTGCTAGGTTGGTTTACCAGATTCATCAAATCCAAACAATAAAACGAGTTTTAAATTGTAAAAGCTCATGGCCATAGTCATCCTGGGCTGGATTTGACCACGTGTTCTGATATGCTGTGTTTGCAGCAGGCAAATGGACTGTGTCTTTCTCCATTACAAACTAAACTGAGTGCGTGAGCTGTCTTTTTGTTACTTAAAGAATACCATTCTTCTGTATGTAATTAGTGGTGTTTTTTTAAAAATATATCCAGATAACTTCAAGGAAGAATGTAGAGTCTGCAGTCAGACAGTTAGAAAGAGAGAAGGCTCTTCTTCAGCATAAGAATACAGAATATCAGAGGAGAGCAGAACATGAAGCAGATAAAAAACGCAATTTGGAAAATGAGGGTATGTTGAACCATGGTCGAAGGGTTCTGTTTTGATGTGGGTTTTTAAAAGATAAAATAAATGAATTACAGCTCAAATTAGTGTTTTCATGACAGTAATTAATATTGTTGATTTTGTTTTTTCTTTTTTTTTTTTTGTTACAGTTAACAGTTTGAAAGACCAGCTTGAAGATTTAAAGAAGAGGAATCAGAACTCTCAAATATCCAATGAGAAAATCAATCAACTACAAAGACAGGCATGCCAACTTTACATATGTTTATTTAAAATAATAAATGTTTGAACTACAGATTTTACTAGTAGTGGAGGGAGTTAAAATGTGTAATGGAGTTTTAAAAGCTGTACTTTCTTGTCATGTTTTGGTGTTCAAAAGTAATCTTAAAATACATCTCTTTTTATTTCTTTAATCCATAAAATCTAGTATTCTGTAGTAGAAATGGTAGCTGTTATATTTTAATTGTTTCTGATGTGGTTTTTTACCAATCCTTAGTTGGATGAAGCCAATTCTTTGCTGCGGTCAGAGTCTGATACTGCAGCCAGGTTAAGGAAGAACCAGACAGAAAGTACGAAGCAAATCCAGCAGCTGGAAGCTAATAATCGAGAACTACAAGATAAGAACTGCCTCCTAGAGAATGCTAAACTCAAACTGGAGAAGGACTTTCTCAATCTTCAGTCAGCTCTAGAATCAGAAAGGAGAGATAGAAGTCATGGATCAGAGATTATCAGTGATTTACAAGGTATTCCTGCAAGTGTTCTGAAGTTAAGCTTGCTTCTTATTTCAGAAAAAAACATAGGGTTTGATCATGTTATTTCAGCTTCAAATTGTGACTAGGTTAGCGTGCTGTTCTATACAATGTTTTGTAAGTATGAACACACATTTAAGAGAAAATAGGTGATAACATTTTATAAAAGTTAGTGATAACTTTTAAAATCACCCTGAAAGGAGATGTTCTTAATAATGAAAATTAGAAGGTGTTGCATTTGAAAAATTTTATCTCCCAAGTAGATACAGTACATTCTTTTTCTACACATTGCCCAGCCTCACTGATGTTTTGGCCATTTTTAGGTCTGCATTAGCTAAACTAGAAGTGGAGAAGAGACGATTGCAGGAAAAACTTACGGATTTAGAGAAGGTAACAGCACTTCAAAGTGGACATTGGTGTTACATTCTTCGGGAATTATTAAATTTCGACTTTCATTACTTGAGATGTGGAGACAAAATCTATGCAAAAAATAAGCCTTGTTTTCAGTGTTTATTCTTTTTCTTTGATTTTTTTCTTCATTGTTTTTGCAATATGAGAAGTGGGGAAAAAAAGACAGCATTTCCCTTCTAAAGTACATGTACTCCAGTGTGTAGCTTAACAGGGCAGAAGTGACATTTAATTTCACCTGATTTTTTTTTTTTAACTCTTAATATTGCCAAAAATAAAAAAGCTTCTGGTAATATTTTTTTTTTTTTTGACAAATTTGTCTTGAAACAAAAGTACTGAAAAAATTCTTCAGTAAATTTAATCTCTGAGCTACTCTTATTACAGAATGTTGGTTGTTAAGGCAGTATTTCTATAATTGTTTGCAACTGGGGATGTCATTGTGCATTTTTGGAGTACTTTGCCTTTCATAGAAAACGTGTAGAAATGAGTTTTCAGTTAGCTCCTTAGAGTCTGGGCTGCTCTTCTACCCTTAGCATACTTCCAAGCAGCATGTTACTGTTGTCTGAAATTTTTTATTTAACCTGATGTATTTAATGTTTTATTTCAATGTCATTTCTTCTTTAACAGGAAAAGAGCAACATGGAAATAGATATGACATATAAATTCAAAGTTATGCAGCAGAACCTTGAACAAGAAGAAGCTGAACATAAAGCCACAAAAGCACGATTAGCAGACAAAAATAAGATCTATGAGTCTATAGAGGAAGCAAAATCTGAAGCCATGAAAGGTATGTATTTGACATCACAGTTCAACTTAGGTGTAGTTATACAAAGTAGATAATGTAATCTTTTAATGCTAGTGGAAGCCTAAGTATAGGCTTTTTTCCTTGATTCCTCTTTTCTTTTAGAATATAATTAGTGTCGTAAAAATCAGTCGTAGTCCCTTTGTCCTTGCTTTGCTAGGTTGAAGATGCAGTGGTTTAGTCTTCGAGTAAAACAGGTTCTCCATTGCACACACCACTAATTCAGTTTTTGTGGTAGTGTATTCTGAATTAATTTTTCTTAAACTTATATTACTAAAACTGCTTGAAATGTTTTTGTTAAGAGCTTATCTGTGTTCTTACTCACTGTACTCGTGTCTTTTTCTGTCTTCCTAAATAAAATACGTCACCAACTTAACGATTTAAATATGTAGACCAGATAGAGTTAGAGATAGCAAAGCCTTTGCTAGGCTTCCATAGTCATTGTGCATATTCTGGTGCATCTCATGACAATTGCAATCTCTTGGAGAGGGGTAATTAACAAACAATTCCAGAAGATGGCTAGTACTTTTGAATTAAATGGCTTATGTTTATTGTAGCTGTTAAAAAAGCTACCTACAAATCCTGTCCTTCCAGATGGGTTTTCTTCACCAAAAGGGTTGTCAGGCTCTGGAATGGGCTGCCCAGAGAGGTGGTCGAGTCCCCATCCCTGGAGGTATTTAAATGAAAGATAGATGAGGTGCTTAGGGCCATGGTTTAGTGGTGGGATGGCAGGGTTAGGTTAAAGGTTGGACTCGATGATCTTAAAGGTCTTTTCCAACCAAAGTGATTCTATGATTCAAAGGAAGCTCAAATAATTCAATAATAATGGCTGAATCACTTGGCATGTCAGGTCCTTGAACAGCTTCAACTCTTAAAATAATGTCAAATTATCGTAGTCAAAGCAATGCTTTAGTAGATTTAGATGAATTATTTTTTAAAATCCACCCTTTTTATCCATCTCAGATGTGTTGCAGGTAAACTGGAAGTTATCCTGAAACTCAAAAGTAGGAAATAGCTATCAGTCAGGAATGCTTGCAAAAGCATCCTCTGGGAGTGGGTTTACTGTGAAAATTTTAATGAATCACTCTTCAGCAATCTTTTTCTTCAGTGTTAAAAGGTTAAACATGTTGCTTATTGTTAGTATGGGATAGAGATAGACCTCCCCTCACCCTCCAAAATCCCAACACTGACTGACGTCTTCAATCTCTTGCTTCACAGAAATGGAGAAGAAACTTCTGGAAGAGAGAGCTTTGAAGCAAAAAGTAGAAAATCGGTTGTTGGAAGCTGAAAAACAGCGCTCCATGTTGGACTGTGATCTCAAACAATCGCAACAGAAAATCAATGAGCTCCTTAGGCAAAAGGATATACTAAATGAAGATGTAAGGAACGTTGACAAAAGGAGTCTTGAGTGGAACCTGGTTTTCAATGTCATAATATTTTCCCTGTTATAGCTGTATTTAGGAATGTTTATGAATGAAAATGGCAGCAACTTCTTCCTTCTCTGCATTTAGAACTTTAAAAAGTCTACAGAATGTGTTTTAATTTTTCTGAAATATTTCAGTGTTATTGAACTTAAAAAGTTCTTCTTCTGGAATGTAAACTGCTGAGAGATTGACGTGGAAAAACTAGCTTATTTATTGTGTGCTAATGCCTTTGTTCAGGAAGTAGCTTTGACTTACCAAAAGATGTGAGCGTGTTGTACAAAAGTGTAGAGGAAGTCAATAAGAGACACTGTTTACAAATGTTGCTTTCCTGTGTATGTCTGAAAAATTCACGGGTTTCTTTATTTTTCAGGTAAAAAACCTGACATTAAAAATAGAGCAAGAAACACAAAAGCGTTGTCTCACTCAGAATGACCTCAAGATGCAAACACAACAAGTCAACACCTTGAAAATGTCAGAGAAGCAGTTAAAACAGGAGAATAACCATCTTCAGGAAATCAAATTAAGTCTGGAAAAACAAAATAACGAACTCCGCAAGTACGCAGAGTTGCTCTGTATTTTTTAATAATGTTACTGATTTGTAATTATGTTTTGGCAGAAGCGGAGAGCAATATTAATTTTGAAAATTTGCTGCACAGAATATGCTATTCTACAGTGCAAAACTTAATTGTTGTTTAAAATAATTTACAGTGATGTGATTCTAGTTGAGATTTGCCCTAGTGATTCAGCAATGTATAGTTTTCTAGTAAAAGATGTTTGTTATCCTGAGAATCTTAAAAAACCCAGCTTAAAAGGAAAAGTGTGAGGACTTCAGGGAAACACTTAATAGAAAGTCTAGGTCCTTTTTTTTTTTTTTTTTTTAATGACGTAGACCTTCAGTGAAGAGGAAAGTTACTGGCATTGTTAGTCCCAGAGAGCTTGTTAAGAGTTGGAATGAATACTAGTACAGAGCTGTGGAGCGCAACCATTGGAAATATCTCATACTAAAGATGTTTAAACGCATTTGTTGGGCCTTCAAATAGGAATTATGTTAAATCCCAGCAGTTCTTCATGGTCTTACAAGCAATATATGCACCTGATCATTAATAGATAAATAAATATTTAATTTTTTTTACATAAAGAACATTCTGGGGAATGAAAAGGCAAGTTTAGCACATCTATCAGATGAACCTCATTCTTAGCTCCTTTATGACTTCTGGTGGTTTATCTTTTCTGTCAGCAAGATGCAGTTACTCACCTAGAAGGTGGCTACATGCGTTCGTTGCTGTAATGTGAAACACTGGCAGAAATCTTTTCTGCTAAATTACTGTTCTTTGTTATGGACTGACTAATTGACTTTCTGAGTTGTTTTAATAACAGATGAATTAAAGAAATTATGCGTGTCAAAGAATACAGGCATGTTTTTACAGACTGAGCTTTAGCAAACGAGAGACCCAAAACAATATGTCAGATCAGTGAGGTTTTACATGGAAGTAAGATTCTGTTGGTGTCCGTTTGCTTTATCAGTGACTCTTACTGCTTAAACTAGGTGACGCTGTGGTAGTTAGTATGTTAACAGTACTAAACTGACTTCTTACTAGTGCAGTTTTATCAGCTGTACAAGTGAAAAAGAGAGCTGGTACCCATAGGAAGCCTCAGCTTTAATTGCTGACCATACTTTGTTCAGGAAATGACTGAACATCTTAAGAGTGTGAACGCTGTCTTTTCTGTTTACTGGTTTGGGATATGTTCATATATTTTAAAGTATGTTATTCCTTTCTAGGGAACGTCAAGAAGCAGATGGACAAATGAAAGAGCTTCAAGACCAACTTGAAGCTGAACAGTATTTCTCGGTATGTTTTATACTGTTTTATTTTTATAGTAATTTGTTTACCAACTACAATGTTAGCTTTTCTTCTTCCTCTTCAGCCGTCAGGCATTTCACATCTCTAACCTAAAGTTAATCCTTTTTCTTGTGTCTGTCTTGGGTGTTCTCTGTAGCCTTGTCATCACTCCTGGTTCTTGATCAGTGAGCAGTGTGAAAGAGCTCATCTTAAGAAATGTCCCAGCTTTGGAAGGCAGTCCCAAACATAGTTTAGAGGGGGGGAGGAGTCAAGCAGCTCATTCTTTCCACAGTGGGAATAATTTTCTGCGTGTTTCAAACCTTTTGCATTCAGCATCTCTTCCATGCAGCATGTAACAAAACATGTGTTTTTAAGGCTTGGAAGGAAATTTTTGCATTACAGCCAAACTTGGTAGAGATCTGTGGTGGGTTGATGCTGGCTGGACACTAGGTGCCCACCAAAGCCACTCTGTCGTCAGCTGGACAGGGGAGAGAAAATGTAACAAAAGGCTCCTGAGTTGAGAATAAGGACAGGAAGAGATCACTCAGCAATTACCATCATAGGCAAAACAGATTTGACTTGGGGAATTCAGTTTAATTTATTACCAATCAAATCAGACTAGGATAACGAGAAATAAAACCATATCTTAAAACACTTTCTCCCCACCCCTCCCTTCTTTTTGGGCTTAACTTCACTCCTGATTTTCTCTACCTCCTCCCCCCAAGCAGCGCGGAGGGATGGGGAATGGGGGTTGGGGTCAGTTCATCACACGCTGTCTCTGCCACTCCTTCCTCCTCAGGGGGGCACCCCTCACACTCTGCCCCTGCTCCAGCCTGGGGTCCCTCCCATGGCAGACAGTCCTCCATGAACTTCTCCAGCATGAGTCCTTCCCATGGGCTGCAATTCTTCCCGCACTGCTCCAGCGTGGGTCCATCACTTCCACAAGGTGCAGTTGCTCAGGAACAGACTGCTCCAGCGTGGGTCCCCTACGGGGTCACCAGCCCTGCCAGCAAGCCTGCCCCAGCCTGGGCTCCTCCCCTACAGGTCCTGCCAGGAGCCTGCTCTGGTGCAGGCTTCCCATGGGGTCACAGCCGCTTTCAGGCATTCACCTGCACTGGCTGGGCTGCAGGTCCACGGGAGATCTGCTCCCCCATGGCCTTCCCTGGGCTGCAGGGGCACAGCCTGCCCCACCATGGGCTGCACCAGGGGCTGCAGGAGAATCTCTGCTCTGGCGCCTGGAGCACCGCCTGCCCCTCCTACTTCACTGACCCTGGTGTCTGCAGAGTTGTTCCTCTCACATCTTCTTGCTCCTCTCTCCAGCTGCAGTTGCTGTTGTGCATCAACTTTCCCCCCCTTATTAAATATGTTATGACAGAGGCGCTACCACCATCGCTGATGGGCTCGGCCTTGGCCAGTGGCAGGTCTGCCTTGGAGCCAGCTGGCATTGGCTTTATTGGACGTGGGGGGAAGCTTCTAGCATCTTCTCACAGAAGCCACCCCTGTAGCCTCCCCGCTACTAAAACCTTGCCATGCAAACCCAGTACAAGATCTGTTGGGAGTTTTTGCTTTATTGTGATAAAGTACAACAAAATAAATAGATATGTTACTTAAAAACCATCACTTGCATATGGAGGCTAATTTATATCAATAGTGCACAGCCAGTTGCACTGCAGGTAGAGCCCAAAAGGCTTGTTTCAGAATTACAGGGAATAAGATTTTACTGTGGTCTTTAGGGCAGTGAGGAGAAGGACTAGCTGAAGTTTTAGTAGATCAAGAAGTTTCACACGTTAGAGGAGAGAAAGGGAGAGCTGAGGTCAGTTGACTGTTGTGGGTAGGCCATAGACAGTTTGCCTTGAAATCCCCGCACTAAATGCGCTTGCAGTTGTCTGTCACTTTACCTGTATACAGTCATTCAAATGTACAGAACAATACATTTTTTCTTTGATTTCCTCTAGAGCTCTACCTTTTTATCCCATTTCCCAAAAATTTTAATTTCAAATGCTTTTCTAATCTGTTTCTTCCCTTCCTCCTATACTTCTTTTTGCTCTTTAGCTGTCTTGTTGTTTTAATGGATTTGTATGGTTAAAATCTAAATTCTACCTCCCTCTGACAAAGACCTAAAATAATACAAAAAAAATTACTGATTTTCCTTATTTCTGAAACTGCTGATTTTCTATCAAATCATGGTATTCACATTGAGAGTCGCTTTAACAGTATGTTTACAAACATTAAATGTACATCATACCTCTGTCCACTCACAAATACGCAAGTTTAAAAAAAAAAAAACAAAACAACAAAACAAACAAAAAATGTCAAACAACAAAAAGGTAAAGTAACCAAAATGTATTTGGGAATGATGATGACAGTTAAATTTAGAGAAGGCATTGCACAATTATACTCTAATGAGTGTGTGATTAAAGAATTGCATAGTGTCATCTTGTATCAGTTTTTGTTTACCTTCAAGCTAGAATATACAAGTCACATTCTTTTCTATCCAACTTTAAATTCTAGACTCTGTACAAGACGCAAGTTCGAGAACTTAAAGAAGAATGTGAGGAAAAGACCAAACTTTGTAAAGAAATGCAGCAAAAGATACAAGAGTTACAGGATGAGAGGTAGACTCCACTAGTTGTACTACTAATATATAAAAGATTAGGAAGGCATTTTGTTGTTTTACTCTTCTTTTTTTTTTTTTTTTTTTAATTCCCCCTCTACCCTGCCCCCACCATAACCTCCCATTTTTTAAGTTAATAGAGTATTTATCAATAATTTGCAGAGATTCCTTGGCTGCTCAGCTAGAGATTACTTTGACAAAAGCAGATTCAGAACAACTTGCACGTTCCATTGCTGAAGAACAGTACTCTGATTTGGAAAAAGAGAAGATTATGAAAGAGCTGGAGATTAAAGAGATGATGGCTAGGCATAAACAGGAACTTACTGAGAAAGATGCCACCATAGCCTCTGTGAGTAGTATGAATCATAATTTTGGTAGAGATTTACATGGGCTTGAATTTCATTTGCAGTTTGAGTTATCCATTGTTATTTATCATACTTAGAGGTAAGTGATATACAGGTGTATCTGACATTTTAAAAATAGTTATTTTCTATGCATGAAATAAAAAAAACTCTTATCACGTTTCTTCCATGCATCTCTGATCGTTCGTTCTTCTGTGTCCCTACCCCTCTGACAGCTAGTCCTCTTATCTTATCCTGGTTTCACTCTGAAGTATTTCCTTCTCTCCTGTAATGCTTTCATATACCAAATGTGTTTTGTCACATAATCACGTGCACTTTTTGTTTTGTAGTTGGAGGAAGCAAATAGGACACTAACTAGCGATGTGGCTAATCTTGCTAATGAGAAAGAAGAACTAAACAATAAACTGAAGGAAGTACAAGAACGTATGTATTCTCTGAACCAAATATAATTTAATTTGAAACTAGTTTTGTTCTTTAATAGTACTATTTTCTTTTGTAATGAGCTTTCATAGATTTTTTTTTTATTACCTTGCTACAGAAATTACAAAGCTAAAAGAAGAAGAAGCAAATGTAGGAAATATTAAAGCACAGTTTGAGAAACAATTGTTGAATGAAAGAACATTGAAAACCCAGGTAAGCAAATGTATCTAAATGAATGAATAGATAGTGTTCATGAAGCAAATGATTTTTAATAGAAAACATTCCATGGTAAACTATCTATATATATATACTGTTAAGACTTTATTCTTTTTTGCCCCTGAAACAAAATATATTAATCTTTTTTTTTTGCTTCTACTAAGTAGACTTTCAGTGTAGTGAAACTGCATCCTCATGATTTATTATAGAGGAACTCCTAATCCAGATGCAGTCTACCAGCAAAAATCCTCATGTCAGTCAAATGAATTCATATTTTACTGATTTCCATCTTGATTTATATTCCTCTCTAAGTTCCATAAAACTGTATCTTTCTGATTTGCATTTGGGTTGTTTTTTAGAACTAATGGCATTTTAATCCAAAGATACATTTTGGGACTAGCTAATGGAAACAGAAGAGAATATTTAAATGAATAGAAGTGTTCAAAGCAAATGCTTGCTTAAAGTGAAAACAGCATCATTACCTTCTTTGCAATTTTGAGTAGTACATTGAATTAAAGCAACTTTATAGTACCGGATATGCAAGGGTCTTAGTTTACAGTTAGATTAAGTGTGTCTGATCATGGATAGGAGAGAAGACTTTATTTCTTCACAATATAACTCTATGTATTTATTGGTGTGGTTTTTATCTTCTTTTTTTTCTTGCCCATGGGAAGGCTGTGAATAAATTGGCTGAGATCATGAATCGGAAGGGTCCAGTCAAACGTGGAGCTGACACTGATGTACGGCGGAAGGAAAAGGAAAATAGGAAACTGCATATGGAACTGAAGTCTGAACGAGAAAAGTTAACCCAAATGATGATCAAATATCAGAAGGAAATCAATGAAATGCAGGCAGTAAGATCCTTTTGCAAATATAAACATTGTTAGCATTCTCTGTAATTCTCATTGAATTGGTACAGGCTTTAAGGTAGTGGGTGCAGTCTCTATTCCTGAATTTCCCATGACCAAAAGAAATACACAGTATATATATTGTGATTGGCTGCAAAGTCTGCGTAATTTTCTACTTCTGTTTTCTCTGAGTAACTGAGCATAGTGATAATAGGAAATCTTGTCATTTATCCTTACAGCAAATAGCAGAAGAGAGTCAGATACGGATTGAACTCCAAATGACTCTGGACAGCAAAGACAGTGACATTGAACAGCTTCGTTCACAGCTACAGTCGTTACACATTGGTCTAGACAACAGTAGTATAGGCAGCGGACCTGGAGATGCCGAGGCAGATGATGGATTCCCTGGTATGTTAATTTTATTAATATTTCTGCATTAATTGGTTTTATATCAGTGTTTTACCATAGAAGCTGAAGTATTAAATTAATGCTCTGGTGGTTCTGTGGCTTTTCATCTTCAGGTGTTTCTACCATCTTATTAATGCTTTGGTAGTGATCACTGTCCACCTACTAACTAAATCTGCCTGTAATCATACTTCATCTTACATTTATTTAAAGAAATTTCTTTTAAAAATTCTATTGTACTTTTGTATTTTTTGTATTATTGTATTTTTTTCCACTTTATTGTGGTCATTACTTTGCAGTAACTGTGTTATGTGATGAAATGTAAAACTAATACTCTTTTCTTAGAGATTCTATTTTGACTTCTTTTCTACTTTTTTCCTCCTTTATGCTTTATGTTTAGTTCATATCACTCAGTCCCACACTATGGAATCCATGTCTTTTACCTACCAACACTCTTCTACCTCTGTCAGTATTGCCACTAAGCCTTCCAGTTCTCGCATGCTTCTCGATTCTGATTCTGACTCAGAGGAAGAACCTTTGTCTTGTTCCCACAGCCCTACAGAAGTTGATAGCACAGGTGACATCCCTGAGAACTGTTTGGTTTTGTTCTTACTGTGTCATTTTCTCTGTTTCAAAACTAACACTATTAATACATAATTTAAAAATCCCAAACCCAGATCTGGCAGTAAACACGCTGCAGTGGCAGTAAACATTGCCATCAAAGACGTGAAAAAGTTTGCATGAACAAATAACTGACCTGTTTTCTCTAAATGTTTACAGGTGTTTGCTGCCATTTATAAAACCACTGTTTTCATTAATATATTGAAAAAAATGAGCCTAATTATGGCCTTGTTTTCAAGGTAGCTTCTATCCAGTATCTGCAGCTATCTGCGTGACCCTAAGATACTGGATACCAAAAAGTCAAATCCTTGTGTTTAAGTGAAGTGTGGAGGCATCCAACTCCACACTATCTAAAAGTATGTTACTCGCTCATAGAAATTCAGTCCTCTGAGTATTGCATCGTTTTGCCTTATTTTGAATCTTATATTTGATTCTTGTATAGTAAGGCAAGCAAAATGTATTAATTGTTCCAGATACATAAAGCATATTATAAATGATACGGCTCTGGTAAAACAGAGCTTTGTTTTACTAATGCTAGATTCATTTTATGTGGTTTCTATGACTGCACATACACTGTGTTGAACAAAACTTGTGGTTAGTGTTAATATCAGAGGTTCAGAGGTGGGCTTTTTAATTACGTTTAAATTTCTGTATTTCACTTGAGGTTCCTTTAAAGTGTGAATACTTTCCCACTGAAGGCAAAACTTGTTTTGGAATATTGACATTACTTCATCAAAGTAGAGTAAAGAATAATGCATTTCTTCTATTTTCCTCAGTCTCTGCTTTTTGCTGTGAAATAAAATATTAAAAGAATTGTTAAGTACATACATAATTTTTTCCTTGTTAGCTGCTGTTGTGGTGTCTGCATGGTTTTATTTTGTTCTAAAGTAAAAATTGTATCTAAACTAGGACTTTTTTCTGACATAATTACAACAGATTTGAGGTATGATAGTTGTGGTTTCGTTTTGGGTTTTTTTTTCCCTCCTAGTGCTTATAAGCATGTACTGCGAAAACTGTGGAATAGTCTGGCCTTTCTCTGATCTGTTAGTATAGAATGGACACCTGAAATGAAGAAGTGTAACCAGGAACTCTCGTCTTGTCCAGTTTCCTGTGATGGTACTAGAGATTACTGAGAAAAATAGAAAAATTTTAATGCATATTTTTTTCACACCATTAACAAGCTACACACGCTTCCTGGATGCTGGGAAGGACTTTTCGCATCAGCATTATGCTTGCTATTCTTTGTGTCAGATGTAGTTGAAAGGAACAATTTAAAGGGGCAGGTATGAGGCAAAATACACATTATAGAACTACTTCATGTACTTGCTAGGCACATTAGAATGTGTCATCAACAGCAATGCTTATGGAGCAGTAAACTTTGAAGACAGCACAATCTGAATAAATAACGTTGCTTCAAGTCTCTGTAGACAATGAGAATTCTATGAATACCTAATAACTATTTGTTACGCTATGTTAAACGTGGGCAGGAGCCTGCAAATGCCCTTCGATGAGAAAGAAAATAGCCTTTGCAATTTTGGGGCACGTTTATGCTCCTTTCATGATTTTGTGTTTGTTAATATTAAGGATTCAGTATTTTGACTTGGAGGTTCCTCAGCCACAGCAGAAGTTATCTGCTAAGGTGGGAAACTCGTTAGCAAAGTATTATTGCAATTGAGTAGTTCCTTGTAATAAAACATAGGGGAAAGAAAATGCTTGTATTAAGTGCAGCTATAAAAATAGGGTCAAAGGCTATGCAATATGTATTACCAAACACTAGGGAAATGTGATCCTGGTGAGCTTTTGGTTACTACTGAAGTGCGTGTGTCAAACAACAGCTGAGCTGTTAATACTGTTGATAAATCCAATCTGACTAATATGCCAGTGTAATGTGAGATATTGCAAGTGAGTGAAAGGGCAGCTGAATTTAGGCAAGTCCTAAGGATTAGCCAAAAATGACTTGTTTTGTATAAAAAAGCCTAGGAGATTTAGGCAGAATTAGGAAAAAGAAAAATTGACAGAGCAAAAACTATGAATTAGAATACTAAACTTCTGAAATTTTACTTGGTGTATAGAAGATATAGGTTATTAGTAGTGGTAGTTTGCCTTTTTTTGTCTTGAACTGGGTGTTGTGTGGTCTGTACTAATATCTTCAGATGCTGCTTTAAAATGTAAAGGTTGATAGACATAAGCATTTTAAGTCTTGAAAAAACTACTAAAGGGAATGCGCGTGCTATAATTGCAGGTTTGCTCTTCCCCTTCTTCCTTGTGCCTACTACTTTTTTGTGATTGCATTGGTGGTTATTGGCTGTGTTCAGGAATACACTATTTAATTTATTCCTGAACAGTTACTGGGATAAACTTTGCAAGACCTTGTAGTTTTAAATAGTTCATGTTCTCATATTTGCTCTGTTGCTTTATTATTGATCTTCAATAACTATTTTAAAAAGCAGAGCAGTCTCAAAAATAATGTTTTTTTTATATTTATGTTCTTTAATATATATCTTTTTTTCAGAATCAAGATTGGAAGGCTGGCTATCACTGCCTGTTAGAAATAACACTAAAAAATTTGGATGGGTTAAAAAGGTAAGAAAACCAGATTTATTGTTACATGTGTAGTCTGGATTTTAAACTTACTGCAGATTTTCAACACTTCAATTTTTATTTGATACATGTTCTGTTACTTAAATGTATAATAATAATGTATGTTAGCTGGTATAGCTGTGTCTGAGTGGAGCAAGTTAAGAGAATTGTAAAAGGTTAGGACACTTCTTTGTCCAGCCAGAGGTGAGTACAGCCATTCATGATCTTCAAACGTTTGTACATTCAGCCATAAGCATTCCTGGCAGTATTACGTAGCTGGAATTCAGAGTCTGGAAGAGATGCCCTTGACAAATTCTTTATTTAGGAGATAAACCTAACAACTGCTTATCTGCCTTCTGCAGCCTTCACTCACTTACTGCTTTTCACTAGCCTCTTTGATGGGTCTTTGCCCAAAGAGTAACTACGCAGTTTCATACCAGTTCACTTACTGCTCAAAGTGTTCATTCTGGACAAAATTCTGGAAATAGGTGGTCTTCTAGGTATCTAGCTTTTTTATTAAAATTGCTAGCAATACTGGTAAGTACAACAGTGATTTTTGTGAGTATGATCCCTACTGGCTGTGAACTCCATGTGTAAAACAGGTATCATAAGATGAGTTACTCTCACTACCAGTCCAAGGACAGTAGAAATGAAAAGCTTTTATCTTACTTTCTTCCAGACTTCCATTTTTATCTCTTCATAGGGACTTAAAGCTGTTTAAATATCAATTAATCTGATGACATAAATTGATTTATCAGGTAATCAGAATTTTTTTTGTTGTCCAATGAATTTATTGGCACTTGGACTTAGAATACAGTATTACTATTGTCCATTTGGCTACCATTTAATAAAATTGTAGAAAAATATTGCTGTGACATCTTTGACATCTGTGAAGACTTTGAATTAAAGCGTATATTTCATCCCTTTCTGTCTCTTAACAGTATGTAATTGTAAGCAGTAAGAAGATCCTGTTCTATGACAGTGAACAAGATAAAGAACAATCTAATCCCTATATGGTATTAGATATAGAGTAAGTATCCTTATGTGAGCTTCCTTCTTCTGATTTGTAGGCGAACTTTGTTGTAAAGACTTTGACAGAAGGCCTTTCGAGGCCCGGTCTGGGAGCGCAATGTCAAACAGGGCATACTTTTGCAATTTGAACTACAGAGCTGGGAGCTTAAGCATGCATTGTAAGCAGTGGTGCAGCAGCAGCGCGGTGCTCGGTCTGATACAGGCAGCTCCGCTGAGCTCCGATGTAACTGAACTGCTTCCCCTAGCTCAGCTAGACCTACCTCACATACATGGTGTAGCCAAAACGTTAAGAAAACCGTGGCGGAAGGGCTATAATCTTCAGTGTTTGTACATTTTCACTTACAGCATGTCCTTATGGGTAGGTTGTTTAGTTAATAAACTTATTTTCTTAATAAATACAGAATGTGGATATTCAGAGGTTGGAGCATGGGGAGAGGGCTGTGTTAGAAAGCTACTGCAGTCATTAGTTACGTGATGTTGGTTTTTCAGTGCTGTCGTGATTTTTACAAATATAGCTGATACTTGTGGCTTCTTTTTACTTGGGGTTTTGGGAAGTTCATGCGTGGGATTGAAAGATAGGACTTTAATCAAGTGATTAGAAATTTGTAGTGACAAATCTTTAATGGCTTTTAGTCTTAATGTGGTATGTTGTATCCTAACTTGATCTGTCAATCTGAATTGGTATCATTTTGGTATCATTAATTTTTGTCCTTACTGAAATAATTTCCTGCAGCAAACTCTTCCATGTCCGACCAGTCACTCAGACTGATGTGTACAGAGCAGACTCCAAGGAAATTCCTAGGATATTCCAGGTATTCAGTAATAAATTAATGTTTCTAATCTAACAAAGATGGTATTTCACACATTGTCAAAAACATTTTCATAACTTTGTCTGATGGAACATTCACTAAAAAAGAATTTGAAAAAAATCCATTCCGTCGTATTTCCTCAATCTTTCTACTTAATTATTCTGAATTTCTGTTTGTCATAGAGGAGTACTGAGATTATTTTGCTTTGATTTTAGATTCTATATGACAATGAAGGAGAGAGCAAAAAGGAACAGGAATTTCCCGTGGAGCCTATGGGAGAGAAGTCAAATTACATTTGTCACAAAGGACATGAGTTTATACCTACTCTTTATCACTTTCCAACCAATTGTGAGGCTTGTATGAAGCCACTGTGGCATATGTTTAAACCTCCTCCTGCTCTAGAATGTCGCCGTTGCCATATCAAATGTCACAAAGATCACATGGATAAAAAAGAAGAGATTATAGCACCTTGCAAAGGTAAATAGCAAGTATTTGACTATGCATATAATCACTGGAGTCACGGGTGTTCTAGTAGATCGGAGGATTCTAATAGTGGTCTGACACCAATTAAACATAAACAGGTTTTTCTTTTATTAGTACATAGCTGTCAGAACCTTTCTAAGGGTGTCTACGTGAGGATCAGCTCACTGCTGTGAGTTAAAGGCATGTGGCCAATATATGTACAGACCTGCTGTGTTGTCAGCATTATGCAGTAAAGCGTGGTAGCTGTAAGACCACTCACATCGCGTGTTGTGGTGGATTCTGTACGAAACAATAGTGTGTGTTATGAAAGAGGTGATATTCGGTGACGTTTACTCCTTGTGACTCAGGTTACATAGTTTCTTGGGCTTGGGCACACCTCTTTGTGTTACCCTTCCTTGTTTTTTTCTGTGTGAGTTTGTATCTTCCCTAGTACTTCGTTGTTAGCCTCTAAATGTAAGGAGGAGGCACTGTCAGCAACCGGGAAACATAAAGATGGCCAAAACCTGGTTCACTTTGCTCTTGATTTCTCTGCTGATGTCTCTGTGTGTTGACCGTGAGAGTATGGTAATCTGACAACTAATTTTTGATGTGGGGACATGTTTAGAATAATAATAATATTCATTTTTATTTTAAAATTCTTAATACAGTGAACTATGATATTTCAACGGCAAAGAATCTACTACTGTTAGCTAATTCTACGGAAGAACAGCAAAAATGGGTGAGCCGACTGGTCAAAAAAATACCCAAGAAGCCTCCAGCACCAGACCCCTTTGCTCGATCTTCTCCCAGAACTTCTATGAAGGTACAGCCAAACCAGTCCATCAGGCGACCAAGTCGACAGCTTCCTCCAAACAAACCAAGGTGACACAAAAGCTGCTATTCAGTTTATTGCTTTTAAAGCAACTCACATTTTACTACAATTAATGTTGTATATGTTGACGAGGACAGTTGACCACAAATGTTGTTGGCTACTGACATGTGATCTAGCATGTCATCTTCTATAAACCTCAGTTAAGTTATAAGAAGAGCCACTGTGTTTGTTCCCGTGTTTAAAGGACCTTGCATTACCTGTTGGTTAACCCTACCGTACTGATAATGCATCCTGTTGCTCTTTTGTGGAATAGCCAGAACTTGTAGCATCATCCGTAGCCTAACAGTTCCTGTAAACTGGGAGCTGGTAGGGAAAATGGGGTTAAACTAGGCAAAGGCTCAGTGAGAGGGGTGTGAAGTTTTTTAAAAAAGAAAAAAGTTTAACAATTTTCAAGATGGTCACTACTGTACCCTATTCGAAGTTGAGCAATGAACTTAGGTGCTTGTGGTTCTAATGAACCTTGGAGAGAATTGGGTGCCTTCAGAAATCAGTCTAGAAGGCCTTACATGTAGCAAAAGACTACATGTCTTTTGTTTCTTATTGTTTGAGGCATGTGTTTGAATTCCTGCCCTGCTCGAAGGTTAGACACCCAATTGCGGATTTGTATGTTAGAGTGTGTTTCATCTGACCAAATGTATATGTCTATGTCTGACTCCATTTACAGTTGATATTTAAGAAGAGTTGTTTTCAAGATTCATGTTTTCCTAGTGTAGAAAAGGACTGTATAGCATGCTTTTGGACATCTGCAGTGAAAAGCTAGTTCAGATGAATCTCACTTTTGCGTCTCTGCCCATGTGGGTTCCACAGCATGGAGCCCGTCACTGCAGTGCCACGTGGGCACCTGTCTGGGTATCACTCGTGCTTTTTGCAAGAGAGCAGGGAGATGGGAGGTGGGGAATCACCATCTGGTCAAGTAGCCTGAGCATTTACCAAAGGGTGGGAGAATTGGTTTCAAGTCCTCATTCAGCCCAGAAGGACTCATGCTCATGCCTCATTCCTATTAGAATAGTCGTACCCGGTTCCTCTGATTTGGGAAAAAAATGTCCATACAAAACCCAGTAATCTGTTACTGGATCGGTTTTAAGGAGCAAAATCCTATACTGTATTGTGGAAGTGAGAACATTCTGCAGGTAGTGCTTATGTGATTGCACAGTACCGAATTTCCAGGGTTTTTTCAGCTTGCTTTTTTCATCACCTAGAGTACTGGCTAATACTTGGTCACATCAGTCCCTAGTTGTTGTCAGCCTGTGGAAAGTTTGGTCTGTCTTGGTTTGTTTGCAGTATGCCAGCAGCAATGGACAGTTCAGCAAAGGTTTAACATTTTTCCCCGGGGAGCTAATTCGGCAGTGGCTAGAGAGTATTGCTGTCCCTGTGTCTGTGACCAGAGCGCCACCCATGCCTAAGCTGGCTGGCTGAATGCTGGGCGGGGGGAGTTGCTGGAGTTAGGGTGGGGAATGCAGCGTAAGCGTGCTCTTACTGCAATGCTGCTGTTATCCCAAAGCAGCCTTGCGCTATGAAGAGTGACATCTGAAAAAAATAGTGGTATTTTAATGTGTGGAAATGCATAGTGAAAGGGCTGAAAGCAACTTAATTTCACTTTCCTAAGAGTCGGATTTTTTGTTATTTACATACTTTAAAAGAAAGTCTGACCTCATAATTTGCATTTTAAATGATAAGGGTTTTTTATTATAACCATGAAGGTAAAAAGTTCTTTAATTGCTACTTAGGGACTAATTATTGAAGGATTTCTTTGTGCAAAACAAATCAAAATATCAATGATTGGACTGAAGCATGAATCAAGGAAACATTCGTGGCAACTTGGGGGACAAATAAAATGCTTTTCTAATGTATGGGGTTTGCAATTAATTCATTAGTTTTATTAAATTTCTTATTGTTGGCATCTAGAGGGTATATTATAAATTCTGATTCTTTTTCGACAGCTGTTCTCAGGTGCTCATAAAATAATTTTTCTCCTTATAACACCCTTCTTTCAATTTTCGTGACGTTTTTTACAACATGTTTTCATAACACAGTGTTTACTCTTACCCTTCTTTTTAGCTGTGGCCCTCCTCCAGTCCGAATCAGTCTTTAGGGTGTTTTTTCTATCTGTGTATTTTGCAATGGTGGGAAAAGGAGGAGGATGAACATTTTTTATATGTAAACCATTTTATTCCTACAATTAAACTTTCCAAGTGAGCTTTGCAAATGTACCTAACAGATGGAAAAGTGTAGTTCTGTGAGGTCATCTCACCTATCCCCTTACTAATGCAGGTCTGTCAAACCAGTGGAAATTTGTGTGGATTTAAACACTTTTAATTAGAAACCACATACTTATAAATTACTGTAATTGCTTTGGCTAGTTAATATCTGCCTGGTGTCTCTATGAGGCTTTTGTGCAAGGGCTTACCATATGGAATAATTAATTTTCTGTTACAAACTTTATTAAGAATGAAGGTCTAGTTGCCAGTTAAGTCTGGGGACTGAGTGGCTGGGGACAAGCCGGAGATGAGCCAGCAGCGGGCCCTGGCACCAAGGCAGGCTCCTGGACTGCAGCAAGAGGACCACAGCCAGACGACTGAGGGACTAGATTATCCCCCTCTGAGGGAAGAGATTAGCCCCCCAAATTCAAGCCAGGCATTGATGAACTGGGGAGAGTCCAGCAGAGGCCACCAGGATGGTCAGAGCAGAGGCTTGAGGGTGCTGGGTTTGTTCAGCCTGGGTGCAGGACGGCTCCAGCAGGGTATCACAGCAGCCCACCCCTTCCTGTGGGGAGGGCATCAAGGAGACGGAGCCAGGCTCTTCAGTGCTGCATGGTGGGAGGGTGAGAGGCAAGGGGGCTCGGTGGAATCCAGAGGGATTCCAGCTGGATTGAAGGAAAAGCCAACACAGACATCTGGGCAAGGAGGCTGGCTGTGAGGCTGGAGGGGCTCCATCCCTGGAGGCTTTCAAGACCTGAGGGGACAAAGCCTTGAGCAGCCTGGCCTTGCAGCTGACCCTACTTTGAACAGGAGGCTGGGCTCAGAGGCCTCCTGAGGTCCCTTCCAACCTGCACGGTGCTGTCCCCGCTAGGAATTTCACAGAGTGATTGTTTCTCCAAGGTTTTCATGGCTGTTGTTGTTCGTGATGATTTAAGAAAGGGCAAACCAGGTTTTGATACAGACCATACAATTTCTGTTTCTCCATTCAGTTGGGTTGTGCCAAAAGGGTAATTCCAAATTGAAAAAAATCAACTTTTCATATATTTTAGTGCCTAATAAATTCTTTTAAGTGTTTTAGAAACTACAATAGCTGTAGTTAATAATAAATTAATATTGAGCCTTTTCAGGGACATATATCACATTTAAAAGTGTAAAAACTTTAAAACCCGAAAACCCCCAAAAAACCCTGAAACCCTTTTTTTTTTTAAAGCACGTGATTAACTATATTAAACACTGTAACATGTTTTAGTTGAAACACACTGAACTCTGTCAGGGTAAGGTTTCTATCCCTGCCTGCTATGGTTGGCATATAATCCTGATTTAAAATCCATTGAGCTCACTGGAGAGATGACTAGACTGGGTTTCATTTCTCGTAGCTATAGCAATTGAGAAGTTAAGTACTTAAGATATTTGTCTAAGATCCTTCGATAACAACAGAAAGAGATGAATGCCTCTAGACAATGATTCATCCCATCCCAAAATAAATGTCTAAAATAGGTAAAATGACTCATTTGCTGACAAGGTTTGCCGCGCTTGCTTGCTTTGTTCTGTATTGACCATAGAAGGAGCACAGGCCTAGAGTACAAGTTGATATATCCTCTTTTTTTGGCATTGCTTAGCTTTAAATAATGAGCTACAGGACAGCTGTATAGAGTAATCCCGCTGTATTTGGGATATAGTAAAATCCTACTGTGTTTGTTTATAAATTCAGACGACACTTTCATTTGATGTTCTGTTCAGCAATCAAAACTATTTGATTTTATTGGAAAAATTGTTAGCCTTGCCTTATTGTCTGGAAAGGGATAGCAAACAGCAGCAAAACAGAAAGCAGCTAATTCTATAAAATTTACATGTTGGTGTTTTCTGCTGAATTTTTTTGGGGGGAAAAATCAATATGGTAAGTGTTCTGTAGAATGGAATGCTTTGTGAGATAAATTTCCAATGAGTACAATGTTCCTGGCTGACATAAACACTAACTGAATCTTCATACTGCATGACAGGCGAAGGGAGGAACCCACCTACCTTAACAGTGTCTTTATTTTAAAAGATTTAGTGATAACAAATGGAATTTTTAAGTCTTTCATACAAGTGTGACACACATTAAACATCAAACCCTCCTGTTGCAGATTACTTGATCTGGCATTTAAGGACTGGGATTGGTCATTTGATGATGTTGATGATATTGATGGTGATGATGATGATGATGATGACGATGTTTTTGATTTCTGAAGAAGTATAAGGGGTAAATCTAAACAGCGAGGAATGGATTTGTTTGCCTTTGAATACAGCATGCTCTGTTGGATTTTGTTTCTCAAAGCAGAGAAAACACAAGATCTCATTTTAATATTTTAAACAGTAAAAATGAGATGTTGTTCATGATGTTGATGAATTTTTAGAGGAGTCATTTTCATTAAAACGATGTTGTTGCCTTTGTCAGTGTTTTTATTTTTCTAATTTTAGATCTTTATTCAAAATTCATGTCTGCCTGCCCAAAAAGAAAGTATCTCCCATTGACAGAGTAGTTGCTCATCTATAGTGCTAATACTGCTAACCTCTGCAGATAACTTCTGAAGGCTAAAAGGGAGATTGTAGCAGTTGGATATTTAGCTGAAACACAATTGGTATTTACAAATACTTTTTCATTTCTAAGCTTTTAACGTAAACTGACTGGTCTATGGCTAGCAGACATGAAATCATCAGAGTTCTGCATTTTGCTTTTCGACCTGTGTTATGAAGTGAATTTGACTTTGCTTTCCTTTGCAGTGCTGTGCTTTTTGGGTACCTAACTGTGCATTTGAAAATCACGTAAACAAATGGGCTTTGCGGCTTCTGTGATACGGTTTCCTTGACTGCTTTAGAAAAGATACGGCCGTTTTACTGATCTAATTTGTCCCGTGGCTTACTGAAATATGCTGTGAACGTACTGGAAACAGTGATAACTGTTTTATAGTTCTCAATGTTTAATCATTTTACATGTTGATGCAATGTTATGTTTACACAGGAAAAAAAAATCCTAAATGTTAAATTCCTAAGAATTCTTTTAAATAGTACGTAAGGTGTGACAGCAGCACCAGGGCTGTACCTCAGCTGTGTACTCAGTTAAGTGAGATACCAGCTCTTGTAGAGTTTAACTGGCTTAGTGTTTACAGTAACAAGCATTACATTAATTAAATATACTGCATCTTTATGTATTAAAAGCTTAAAAATTACTAATCTTTTAGAAATGACTATTGCATTGTGCCTGTCATACTTTACCCTCATATATTACACGGGGGTGTAATTGATTTGGGATCATCATGCGTAAGGATGTGCTATACTTAAGTAACGATGCTGTTGGTGCAGAGGAGTGACGTTCCTCCCAAGTATTCTTAAATGAAGACTTTGAGGAAGTATATTTTTTGTCAGATTTATGTTCATTGCATTTACTGACCAAACTTCCTGCTTCTTTTTCAGCTAACTGCTTTCCGTGAATGCAGACACGGTTCAAGGTGATAATTTTCTTCCCGTTACAGCAAGACTGAAACATATCCCAAAATATATTGAAAATATATATTTTCCTGAGAGATTGTGCTATATATATCAGAGGTTTACATTTTTGCTGCAATATAAATTACTAATCTCTGAGGGTTTTCCTGTAGTCTCCTGAGTGGACTGATCAAATGAGGAATGGTTGATAAATAGTAAAAGGGTATGTTAGGTAACTTTTTAAACTCTGTTCCACAAAAGCTTTCTTGGCAAGACACATACACTAGATTTCATAAAAGGATCGAGAGGAACGAATATTAAACCAGAAGAAACTGACTTCTCAGCTTTCGTAAAGATGCCACCAGCACGTCTGCAAGAAGAACAGGAGGAAGATCCACCATAGTGATATAGACTGCATCTGTAAGAAGTGACCATTATACTGTGTATATATATTGTACTGTAATACTGCAAGAGGGTTTTAAAAATCTTTCCACTTTATTTTTTTATGCTTATTAATCAGATACCGTTACTTATTGCAGTTGCAACTATGCACTTGTATAAAGCCATAATGTTGACGTTTATATCATTCATACACATCTACCAAAAGCTGCATGTCAGTGTTCGGCAGCCAGTATAAGTTTGAAGTATATGCTAGTTTCAGCTACGTCATCATGGGCAGTCCTGTTTTACCTGTCTAATTGCCTTAATTTAATTTTTTTTTCAAGTTTTTTTTTGCCCATTCTCTCTATTTAAGGAAAAAAGAACGTTTACCAGCTCTTAGGATGCAATTTTGCTTTGTGGCAGAAAAAACAGTGCACTATTTTTACACCTAGTAAGTATATCAATGTCAGCCTATTTTGAATGTATATCGAGTGGTTTTAAGGGTGGAGAAGTGTTGGTTACAGAAACAATCTCTGATACCATTGGAATTTAGCTAGACCATTTGCTTGTACATGTAACTGCTCATCCAGCCCTTTTTACAAACCTCAATATTAGTTATTGACTTATATTAATCCTCATTAAGTGCTATGAAACTTCATTTTGCCTTGTTTTTGCATACTCTCCTAGATGTGTTTTTTTTATTTCTGGAAAAAAAAGAATCTGTGACTATTTTTACATTTCACAACACAATATCCGAGGACTGTCACAAACTTTAAGAAAAGTAAAACATACTGTAGGTGTATTTTAAAATTTTAAATCTGGTTCTCTAGCACATAGCTGTAGGCATAGATAAATATTTCAGTAGTGTGTTTTGAGAACTGATAGCTGGGAAGAAAGGGCCTCAGAGGCACTTAACCTGACTTTTTTTTTTTTTTTTTAAACTTGGAGTTGTACAAAAAACTATAATTTATGTGGGCTCATTCATGCTGTGTTCATAATTATCCCAGAAAATGCATGTTTTATACAACTACAGTATGTGAAGTTAAACATATTGACAGTAAAAAATGTAGTCTCCTATTTGGTCTCTTTATATATATAAATATATATATATATTTAAAATATATATATATATAAAAATATTGTGTGGGGCTGCAGTAATTTAAAATATGATCTAACACTTCAATGAAGGAGGACATTTCACTTTAAAATTTTGTTTGTTTGTTTTTGTTTTTTAAAGAGTGTTGAAATGTTTGGAAGGATAGGACCATGATTTATTTAACACTATCATGAAAGGTGGACTTGGAAACACTGAAATACTGAAAATAAATAAATATATTTACATTTTGTAACCTCTACTACAGCTCAGCTTAACAGAGCCAGAATGTATTCAGTCTTCTATTTATGCACTCGCAAAGTAAAATGTTGTTTGTGAGTTCTTAAATTCAAAACTAAAACTTCATATAATTTCTGTTAGGTATTATAACCCAGCACACAGCTACAGTGTTTTTTCCCTGCTTGTTTTGATTTACAGAAGTACGGTATATTTTTAGGTAATGCAGATTTGCATAGAGTACAACATTAAAAATGTATACAGTAAAACTGTTTCCATTCACTGAATGCATAAATATTTTATATATATATTAAAAAAAAATGTTACATTGTGGGAAGTTCTATCCTTTTCTGAATTGGAGAATATTATATATATATTTTTAAATAAACTATTTGAGTAAGGTAAAATAGTTCCTGAACTTGAGAAGCCGGTATTTAATTGAAATACTCAGGTGTGTAGGCAACGACTGGGGCAGAGACGGGAGAGGCAAGGGTTGCTCAAAAGGAAGCCAAGCAAAGGCAGCGTGCGAAGGAAGGGCAGACGCCCAGGGAGCGGTTTTGGCAGGCCCTCAGGTGCTGGGGCTGGAGCTCTTGCGCTTTCTCTCCTTGTTGGCTCACCCTCATTGACTGTGAACCCCGGGGCCCTGTCAAGCCTGACGTTTCAGGAAATGTACTGGATTACTGGATTTACTAGCCAGAGTTTATAGGGGTACAAGTAGTTATTAGCGATAGGTACAGCAGGCTGTGTTGAGAGGCTATGGTAGAATGATGCGGGATGACAGGGAGTGCTGGAGGTCCTCTGGTCTGACCTCTACCTCAAAGCAGGGCCAACTCAGCAGAGGTGGTTCCTCACAGCCTTTGAGGTTTTAGAGCCTCTAGGGCTGGAAGAATCGTAGCACTCCTCAGTTTTCCTTCATGCAGTTTTTCCCAAAATAGAGGAACGGCATGGGCCGTGTTGAGCTGTAATGTGGAGGCCATTTGGCCAATGGTATGGTGTGCGCGAAGCTCGGTTTGTACCCAGGATGCAAAAGGCAAAGCTGCTCTTGTGTTCTTCTCATTTGTCCTTTTGCTCAGGACAGAGCTTCCATCTGCCGATGTATGGAATACAAAGAACTCTTACATGGTAGTTCCTGGAGATTGTGTTGTTTCCTTATTGTCCAGTGGTAACCCTTTAAATTTGTTGTGAGAAGAGGGTATTCCTGAACTAAGGAATATTTGTCTTAAAGTCACTGACATTTAAACACTTTCTTTTTGTAACAGGGCTGTCCCAGCAAACAGGACATTTTTATGGCCTGGATGACTTTATCTATAGAAATTCTCTCATTGTAGGTCCTTCTGTTTCACAGGAGTAAACAAATAGCATAGCCAAGCTGCAGATTAACCCTCTGGAAAAATCAGGGGTCAAACTTGGAGTCAGAAGCTCAAGACCCTTGTAGGGAAGTTGCTCTTTGGTTCCCATCCAGGAGCTCACCAGCACGGAAGCTGGACAGGAAGACCCCGTCAGAGTTAACATGCCAGCTGTCACGCAGACCTTTCTTCAAGGAGATTTCCACTGCTGTCCTAGCTGTGTACTGCAGCTTCCTACTCAGAGTGGTTCCAGCCAAAGCTCAACCCCTCCCAGCGCCACCAGGGATCCAGCACGGTTGACGTTGTAACCAAAACGTGACACGGACCATGCTATCACATAGGACTTGGAAACGTGCAAAAGGCTCGAGTAACTCGGCCAAATTTAAAACATCACTGAAGTTTCACTGCAAGTGTCTCGCTACCTCAGCTGAAGACACTGAACCTCCTACATTTTTGACAGGCGTTCAGTGGCTCTGAAGTCACCAAGGCCAGGAAAGCTGCCGCTAGAAATTGTATGCTTTTCTCTTCAGTTTCTCAGGCAGTGTCAGATGATCATTAGAAATTTGAGCATTTGTGTTTATAATCTTAACAATGTATTAGTTTCCCATCTAGCTCTGAGAGAGTCATCCTTGGAAGATTTGTGTGTCTTGGTCTCAAGTGCCTGGGCTTGTGAGGCCGTACTTGGGATGCTGCTGTGAAAAGGGGGAACTTGTGTGAAAACAAACCTCTCGCCTGCTTAGCTCTTACAACCCCCTACCGCCTCCTCAGTCTGTTCCTAAGACAGGACAACATAACAGCCCATGGACCAGTTCACAGAACTGGAGCCTGCGCCGCATTCCTGGTTAGTTTTCCTCAGCATTCATGTTAAAATAGTGATTCATTTCTTTTTTCACAGAATCATAGAATATCTCAAGTTGGAAGGGAGCCATAAGCATCATCGCGTCCAACGCCCTGCTCCTCGCAGGACTGCCTATAACTAAACCGTATGACTAAGAGCATCGTCCAGATGCTCCTTGAACTCTTGACAGGCTCGGTGCCTTTTCAGTGCATTGCAGTTGATCTTCAGAATATTTTATGGACTCTCAATTCTGCACATACTACACTTTTAATTGAAAAGATTATTTGTTGGGGTTTTTTTAAGATTATCCTATTAAACCACTTAGGGGATTATCAGCATCCCGTGGATCATGGGGTTTTGCCTACTGGTTTGAAGTATGCCTCATGAGAGTGGGAAGGAGTTTTCTTTTCGATCTCTGTAAAAGATGTTGATGGAGCGGTTCTGAAATTAATTCATGCTCTGTGTTGAAGTTGCCTATAAAGTGGACAATGATGTACTCGGGCATGCTCATCTGGGAAATGAGACAAGTCTGCTGAGGTGTACGTGGCAGAAGAGAACAGGAAGTCTAAACACATCGAGTCTAGTTCTCCCCAGAAACTACTGCAGCGAATGGAAAAGCTCACCATAAAACCATTGCCACCAGAAGCGGGGACTCAGAGGAACTGTAATTTATTAGCACGGGGATGCTAATTACCAGGCCTTGTTAGGAAGATTGGGGTTTTGAATCTTTGCCCCTTCGTAGGCAGGAAGTGTTGGTTTGGAAGGGTAAGAAAGTCAAGTTACTGCCCGATACTTGCTATTGCAAGTGTGCAGCTGGACTTGACCACTGCTGCTTTTGCTCCAGTAACCTTACAGAAGCTTCAGGATTAAAGTGATAGTTCAAAATGAAAGTCACCATGAAAGGTAGAAAAATGACAAAGTTGTAAGCATATGTAGTCATGCATACCTTAAAGAGATCTGGAAGGAGACATCTTCATCCTGAGAAGAAAGGGCAGAGAGCGCAGCAACTGCATGTCCCTGCAGCCCCTTTTGGGTTGCCTGGTGGAGCCGCGTAGAAATGCTTTCCCAGCCAAGGCAACCGCCTGTGGTGCTTCAGCCCTATCGCCCCATTTTGAGGTCAGGGCCTTCAACCTTTCTTCAGAGACGTGAGCCTGCTGGTATCTGTAGCCTTACATGGTCATGTCCCAGTGTGCCTCTTGGGTCATCCAGTTCTTCTTGTCATTTGCCATCAACCTTGCTAGATCTCCAGGATTTTTATTGCCCGGGATGCTGTTGCACCACCCGGTAAGCATGGCAGCCCACCAGGAAGCACGTCAGGTTTGTGGGATCCCTCTTTTCCTTTGGCTTGCCAACAGCTTAGACTTCAAGCACTGTGTTAGCCATGTGAGCCATGTGTCTTGGGTACATGCTACTTGTTATTAATGAGTGAATTGGTGGAAACTTTTTTTGGAGGTATCAGAGATATTTAATACCTAGACTGTTTTAAGGCTGAGGGAGCCAAGAGCCCCACCCTCTGAACCCTTTTTCACGCTGGCTGGCCCTAGCGTCGCCTCTTACCTCAGCGCTGTTCCATTTTTCAAATCTGCTCCATAAGCTGACCTCGTGGCTGGGTGCCGGTCCGACGCCGCTTCAGGGCTCGAATCTACCTGGCGGATCCCGTGGCCTCAGGCGCCTGCGTGGTGCTGTCCGGCATCTCCCAGCCTCGCTGTACTGTGGGCCAGCTGAGAGCCAGCGGGGTCAGCGCAGCCGCTTGCCTGCTCTGGGGCGATGGAAGGGCCGGGTAAACGCAGCAAGGGAGCCCTCTGCCTGCTTCCTGCGCCCGCCAGAGCTGCAGCGATGGGAGGTTTATTGCTGGGAAGGTGGGCGTACGTGCAAGCTTAAAATGCACCAGTGTCAAGAGAGGAGAATCTCCTCGAGCTCAGGGAGACCACGAGGACTTAAGCCATGGTGATGGTGCGTTTCAGGGAAAACAGTTTGAAATCTCTCAAGATGAAGTCACCATCTCAGAAGTCAGCTCAGTGGAATCTGTACGTAGTCAAGTGCTTAAAGGTGAAAGAATTTCTTCACAGTAATTGGGTAACTTAAGATGCACTTTGCACAAGCTCACTTTGTGCTTCATTAGAGTCCTGAGGCAGAGGGGGCACTGCGGCGCAGGAACCATGTTCTTCCATTTACACTTCTCACACGGTATGAGGCAGGTCAGCATCTTGGCACTGCTGGCCAAGGCCTCCAAATTCAAAAGCCGGAATGCGTACGTCACGACCCGGCTGGACTGTCCAGGGAGGGGCTGTGGTAAATTCGGAATTCCCTCGGTCTAAGTTAAGGTGAAAGGACGCCAAACGATCAGTTAAACGTTTTATTTATGGTAGAAGCAACCTGAACTTGGAAGGCAGAGTAGTGGTGGTGTCGTTTCTATTAAAATGGCTAAGTGCAGACTGCAGCCTCCCCGTTACCCCAGGCACGGCCGTAGCTCGTCATGGGGAGATGTGGGGTTCTGGTGGCACTGCGCTGGGTGCTGCTGGAGTTCAGCTCTTGTCTTCCCACAGGCAAGAAAGCTCATGCTTTTGGACAGCCCGGGCGGGGCCCCCACCTCTCCGGCCGGGACAGGAGCAGCTGTTTCACCCCGTGAGCTCGCTGCAAGCCGGGGTGATTGAGCCACCCAGCGCCTCGCTCGGCACCCGGGGGAGCCGGGAGCGGAGGTGCGATCCCCCTGCCCTGCGGAGAGAAGCTGGGCCCCCAGAATGCTCCCCCTGGGGCCCCAAGATTGTTCCCCCTGCCCGGCTTTGGTCTGCTGCTGCATTGCGCAGCCTCGGACAGCAAGCGTAACGCGGCTCATCCTCCCCGGGGGTCTTCTCTAAAGCCATTGCTCTAACCCAGCTACCGAGAAGATTATGGCTTATGCACCAGAAAACCACGGGGGCTGCGCTTTCACGGGGCTTGCCCATGGCTTCTACGTGACAGAAGCTAAATAAATCATTTTCAGGAGGGGGAGAAGTGTGTAAAACTTCACTGCTGCCTTCTGATTTGTTCCGTTTCTCTGGCAGCTTTGAGGAGAACTCGTGGTCCAGCTTTCCAAGTCTACAAATTACTTTACCTGCAGCTTGTGAATTACCCAGCTCTGTTTCTTTTCCTCTGTCTCTTTTTTCCGCATGTTTCTAAGATGATTTATTCCAAGTGTGCTAAGTAACCTGTAAAGAGCTTTTCTTCAATGCATTTTCAGTGCTTTATGATGAAAAAACCCCAAGCTGAAGTGTTGATCCTCAGGCTGAAAATGGGGTCTTCGCTTTGCTACAGCATCGATGACTCAGGAGTATGGGAGATGTCAGCAACAGACAAGGTTCCGACTCTACACAAAACCTTTCTCTATCAAGAAGAGGCTTTAGGCTTTAATTAAACAAACGAGGTGAGAAGTGAGCGTGGGTTTTTTTCACATAAGATGCTGGAGCTCTTCAGTGTTTCACAGGTCAGTATGCAGCCTGATGCTGCCACTATTAAGGTGAAAGCCACCATGAATGACCTGTAATGAATATTTCATTTTCTCTCCACATATGGAAACAGAATGAAAAATTAAATGTAAGGAAAATTAACTGTAAGAATGACACTAATCAATCGCAAAGGACAGCGTTTATTAATATGACCCGGAAAATGTGCTGCCTGCCGCCATTTTGACCGCTTCAGATACTTCACACAGCTTTAGTAAAGTCAGGAACAGGACGATTGCAGTTACGCTCTCAACCAACACAGAAACGTTTCTGCATTTTGTTGGAGCAGTAAAAAATCCTCACCTGTGCGCTTGCTCTCAGCAACGCGAGATTCATGAGGTGGTGTGTCCACGGGCGTGCCCGCCCCAGCCCTCCCCGCGCCCAAACCGCAGTTTGTGTGTTCCCTCGGGGAGCCCTCCCCGC